TGACACGAAAACAAAATGCCAGTGCCCTTAAAATGCAGTGAATTAACCCTGAAAACTGAATCCTCCAATCACCTTTCCAGAGAAATATTTTAGCAGAACAGAAATGGCCAGTGTGCCACATCCTGTTCTTTCACCCTGTGCACTTTTCACTTAACTCTCATTGCTGTCCTCCAGGCTAAAAGGCAGAACATACAATCTTCTACTTACGTATAAAGCCTAGTGGGAATATCAGCAGGATTCAGACCATATTCCTCACAGATATCATCACTAGGAGGCAGCTGAACAAATGGGATCAGGCTTTGCACCTACACAAGCAAAGGTAAGACTTTATTTATGCCTTTTGTTAATTCAATGTATACCCTTCTACCATGCTGAATCACACTACTATTTGTTCTGAACTTTTTTTTCTGTATCATATCCCCTTTGTCTGTAGTGAATTCAATGCTAAATTTTGGAAAACCAGGGTAACAAAAGACATTACTAAATCTATCTCTGAATAACAAACATAACCAATGGAATATGCATAGATGTACACAATTTTACATCATAATCCATCAAGGGGTGCACCGTAAGTAACAGAAATTAATTTAAAAAGCACAAGATCCAGACAAATAGTATTCAGAACACAGTTCTTCACAAAGGACACACATGTCTGGAGACATACTGTAAGAGTATATCTCTTCACTGCTGTGAACTCATGCTTCCTTTTCCTTGATACAGGATAGACTCATGCTTCCTTTTCCTTGGATAGACTCATGCTTCCTTTTCCTTGATACAGGATAGTTTGCAGAAATGCAAACAGGGGACTTCCAGACAGGAAACAATCAGGGCCAGCTAACACCTCCCAACAAATGATCCCCCATGCAGGAAGCATCCAGGATTTGAAGCTGTAAGGCCATTCAATGCTTATCAAGGCACCCAATTGTAACATTCACACTTGCCTCAAACAGACAAGAGTTCTTTCTCCCAACCTGGGCATTATTCCACAGATATATAAAACCCACTTTCCTAGTTTCCAACAGACCTCACAACCTCTGAGGATGCCTTTCATAGATGTGGGAGAAATGTCAGAAGAGAGTGCTTCTGGAACATGGCTATACAGCCCAGAAAACTCACAGCAACCCAGTGATTCCGGCCATGAAAGCCTTCGACAACACATTTCTATTATGTTTTTGAAAAATGGCTAATGGCAGTAAAGCAAACTAAATATTTCTTAAATTCATGCAATACAATCTTCCTCATATTGAACGCTGGTTTACATTTATGACTATAGGTTTCTAAAATGAAAATCTGAGATGCCAAAGCTCCCACGAAGATTCAGATCCATTCTTGAGATTTGTTTTTCCAGCAATGTTTTTTCCGAAGAGAGAAAACTAAGTTCCCCAAAATTATTCCAATCCAGACATTAATGCTTATGTTTAATTAAATTCTAATTAAACATAAGCATTAATGTCTGGATTGGAATAATTAAACATGGTAATGCAGAGGCAATTTTCCACCAGTCATGACCTCACGAAAAGTAACAATAGTGATAATACCTGCTTTTGCCCAAATATTGCTCCAATGTTTTCTTTTACTTTAGAGTTCCCATTAGTGCATACAACAGGTTGCTTCTTCCCTTGACCAACCTGGTTGGTGCAAGTAATTCGAACTCCTGTCGAAATGATGCAGTAGGCTTGCAATACCTGAACCATTTTTGCATACTCCTGGGGAAAATAAGCATAAAGGCATTATTGTTTAAGGACTGCATCATGACAATCCCAAATACGATGCAGCCAAGAATTACACAACTGTAAGTCCTTTTTACACTATAGTGCAAGAAGAGGTGCTTCATACCTCAATGAGTAATGGTTTCTTCCTAGCTGCACAGTGGTTTTACACACTGCCAGTGTCAAACAGTATTGCAGTTACTTTTTAAACTTAAACAAGAATGACTACTTGTTATAAGGTCTTGCTAGTGATATAATAGATTTCAACATAATAATAAAGATCAACTTCTAAGGCAGGCTTTTATACAGCTAAATTTTAATAGGGTTCTTTTCTTTAACCAGAGATTATGATGATGACGACAGCAACAACAACAACAGCAGCAGCAGCAACTTTATTTATACCCCGCCACCATCTCCCAGAAGGACTTGGGGCGACTTACAAAAGCACATACAAGTGACACAACACATAAAAACAGAGGTAAAATTACATCACATATTAAATGATCACAACATCAGTCAAGATAAATACAACACATTACATAAAAGCCCAATTTTAAAATCAATAAAACACAGTACAAATTGCCATACAACTAATAATACAGCATCCCAGCCACAGTCCAATTCAACCATTAAAGTGCTAGTGACAGTATATCTTAATCAGCAAATGTCTTAATCATTCCCAAAGGCCTACCTGAAGAGCCATGTTTTTGGCTCTTTGAGAAAACATTGTAATGTGGGGGTAAGCCTAATATCCCTGGAGAAGGTGTTCCAAAGCCAGGGAGCCACCACTGAGAAGGCCAACTTCTGCATCCCCACCAGCCGCACTTAAGATGGAGGCGAGACCGATAGGAGGGCTGCCCCTGATGATCTTGGAGTCCACACCAGTTCATCGGGGGAGATGTGGTCACGAAGATAGGTTGGATCTGAACCATGTAGGACTTTGTAGATCATAACCTGCACTTTGAATTGGGTCCGGAAAGTTATCGGCAGCCAGTGGAGCTGCTTCAATAGGGGCATGGTACGCTCCGTTAGTAATCTGGCTGCCGATCTTTGCACTAATTGCAGTTTCCAAGCCGTCTTCAAAGGCAGCTGTGTGAAGAGTGCATTGCTGTAGTCCATTCTAGATGTAACTAAGGCATGGACCACCATGGCCAAGTCAGGCTTTCCAGGGTATGGTCACAGCTGGAGCACAAGTTTTAACTGTGCGAAGGCCCACCCAGCCACTACTGACACCTGAGCATCATGTGTAAGCGGTGAGTCCAGGAGGACCCCAGACTGCGGACCCCCGTTGAGCACAGGTTGCCACCCTATACCACAATCGGCCTTGCAACTGACCAAGAGGACCTCTATCTTGTCTGGATTTAGCCTATGCTTGTTGGCCTTCATCCTGTCCATCACAGTTGCCAGGTACTGGTCCAAAATCTGGGAAGCTTCCTTGGATTGTTGTGGAACAGAGTAGTAAAGTTGTGTGTCATCTATGTAGAGATGACACCCAACTCCAAACTCTGGATGACCTCACCCAACAGTTTCATGTAGATGTTGAAAGGCATGGGGGATAGAATCGAACCTTGCAGGACCCCATAGGTCAATGGCCAGGGGTCCGAGCAGCTATCTCCCAGTTTCACCAACTGGGTGCAATCCTCCAGGAAGGAGCGGAGCCACTGCAAAGCAATGCCTCCAAGACCCATTCTGGAGAGCCAACCCAAAAGGATACCATGGTCGATGGTATCAAAAGTTGCTGAGCTATCAAGGAGAACCAACAGGGACAAACTCCCCCTGTCTGGTTCTCTATGGAGGTCATCTACCAAGGTGACCAAAACTGTCTCTTTTCCATGACCAGGCCTAAAACCAGACTGTGAATGATCAAGATAATCATTCTCTCTATGCTAGAACAGAGGCAAAATGCTATGGTAAATGCCGGTGCCTAATTCGGCTGCCTGAGTGAGAAGGCAGCTGCAATTCCACTAGCCTTACCTTCTTTATGTTGCGCTGAAATTCTTTATGCCGCACTGGCAATGTATGGAACAACTGCTGCACACTGACCGTTGTCCCTTGTTGACGGGGATAAGGGACCCTCAGGGTGATTTTCCCGCTGTGATCAAACACCAGGCGTGTTCCAACCTTTGCGGACATGTGACAGGTGAAAATGGAAACATCGCTGGAAGGAGGATAGGCATTTTCATTACCAGTAAATCAAAACTAAGAAAAAAAGTTAAATACAGGTGTACAACAACACTGAGTTCTAAAACTCTGCTTTTCTTGTCCTTTTAACATGACTTTCCATTCTCCTCCAGTAGTTCTAACAAAGGCAGAAGGTTTACAAATACTTTATCTATTGGTTTGCCTTTCTAGAGAAGCACCTTACCTTAATGCACATAGAGAACTCAGCGCTTCACCTCGAAAGCCGAACGTTTCAACATTTATGAGGTCAGAGAAATCTTGTATCTTGGATGTATGATGTTTTAGAGCTGGAAGTTAAAACCAGAAATAGGAAATGTGTTTAGATTGCAGTTACCAGGCTGCTGTGAGTTTTCCGGGCTGTATGGCCATGTTCCAGAGGCATTCTCTCCTGACATTTCACCCACATCTATGGCAGACAACCGCCGAGGTTATGAGGTCTATTGGAAACTAAGCAAGTGAGGTTTATATATCTGTGGAATGTCTAGAGTGGTAAAAAGAACTCTTATCTGCTTGAGGCAAGTGCGAATGTTGCAAATGGCTACCTTGATTAGCATTGAATGGCTCTGCAGCTTCAAAGCCTGCTGGTTGCTGCCGGTTACCATTATCCCACAGCACTGGATTTACTGCCCCGGTTAATAGGAATTCCAGTTCAGTAACATCTGGCAGACCAACTATTCCCTCCTCCCATTTTCATGGTTTTATGGAAGTCCTCTCTTTAGATTTAGAATAATTATGCATTACAGTAGAGCCTTGGTATCCACTGGGGTTTGGATCTAGGATTACCCATGGTTAGTAAAATCCATAAATGCTTGAATTGTATTGTATGCAATGGCTTAATAAAGTGGCAAAATCAAGGTTTGCTTTCGGGAATTTTAAACATTATTTTCAAGCTGTGAATGGTTGAATTCGTGGATACAGAGGGCCAACTGTACTTTCCGAAAATGTGGCGATGCAGCCTTCCTTCTGCTCATTATAATAATAATAATAATAATAATAATAATAATAATAATAATAATAATAATAATAATAATTTTTATTATTTATTTATATCCCACTTTTCTCCTTCATGGGACCCAAAGCAGCTGGGAAAATGAACTGATCTGCAGACCGAAGACATTAAACACGACTTACTTAAGCCAGCAAAGTTTTCCTCTTCGACACCACAACCGTTATCAGAAACTTCAATGAGATCTGCTCCATAATCTTTCAGCTTTACTTCTACAAAACATAAAGATTATTTGTTAATCAAAGCATTTCAATTTTTAAAAAATTACAAGGCATCTGTAAATATACCTCTGCTGTTGACAATCTGATGGCAGTTAAAAGCTGAACTTTTAGAAAAATATCACGGGGGCAGCATTTTATTGGGGGGCAATACTCTTATATTTCTCCCTCCTTGCAGCCTTGTAGGTGTAGTTTGTCAGATATGAGACCATAGCTCCAACTAGAATAGTCAGCAATGAAGAACAATGGGAACCATGGTTCAACAATATCTAACAGCCACATAATAACAACCCTTGCTTTGGAATAGGGATAGTGTAGTCTTTGAGGCCCCTTCCACGCAGCTGAATAAAATCCCACATTATCTGCTTTGAACTGGGATATATGGCAGTGTGGACTCAGAGAACCCAGTTAAAAGCAGATGATGCGGGTTATTCTGCCTTGATATTCTGGGTTGCTTGACTGTGTGGAAGGGCCCTGAGATGCTGTTAAAACTTCAAGTCGCAGAAGCCCTCAACACCATAGACAAGAGCTAAAAATACTGGGAGTCACGGTCCAAAAACTACTTTTATCATGTATGTATACTGCAGTAGACTCTCAGGGCCACCACTGACACTTGAGCTTCAAGCTTCAGCACTGCATCCAGGAGGACCTCCAGACCGGACTTGTATCTTCAGAGGGAGTGTAACCCCCACTGAACACAGGTTGCCACCCTATAACATAATCGGCCTCATGACTGACCAGGAGGACCTCTGTCTTGTCTGGATTAAGCCTCAGCTTGTTGGCCCTTATCCAGTCCACCTGCATAGGTCAACAGCAAGCTAGACTATTAATGGTCGGGAGCTTACTCTGACCCGGGCTGGCTTTGAACTCATGACCTCTTGGTCACTAACTAGCTGTGCCACAGCCCTGTCCTACACACACACACTCACACACATAAGGGTGGGTCAAAAAGTTTTGTCTTCTGTGTAATAAAAACATATAACAGCAAAAGTTGTACATACCATGGGGACTGGCAAATACCAGGTAAGTATACATTTTGGTTATTGAGATCTTTAAACATAGAGCAAATATTATGCTATACCGTACCACACATTTTGTGTTCAACAGTGAAATACAGTCCTGATAAGCTACACTGCCTCTTAAAGCAAATATCTCAAAACAAGCCGCAAACTTACCCACAGTCGTAGCGCCAGCGTCTATGCTATTTTCCACCAACTCTTTCACCGCTGTACATAGATTCAGCACTACTTGTCCGGAGCAAATCTGGTGAACCGATCTACGGTCTATTGGCTTGATGGCTTTAGCAGACTCTGCCCTTTAAGCAAAAGCATGAACAGAGTTACGTTTCCAAGGTCAACAAGACACAGAAGTAACAGGGTGTATTTAAGAAGGAGTTAGAACTTTATCCAAGAAAACATGGTACGAGAGTTGGCAGACATGCAGCTCCCTCCTTCCAAGCTTTTGAGAATGCAGAGGAATAGATAACACGGAACCGGATAACGTTTTTAACAGGATGACACCAATGATTATATGCTTTAACAGTTTTTATTTATGTTTTATATTGTAATGTTGATTGTTTTTAATGGCACTTTTATGAATGCCTGACATCGAATTGTGCCAATCTGTAACCCGCCTTGAGTCGCCGTATGGCTGAGAAAGGCGGGCTATAAATATCGCAAATAAATAAAAAAATAAACTTTTTATACAGCTGGCTTCTGCTAAAATCTTGCCGAAAGTGCACGATTTGCATTCATCTTATTCAAGCAGAAGAAACAAAAAAATATCTAAATAGATAACGTCCCAGAACTTATCAATCACAGATCATCTGTAATTGGGTAAAATAAAAAGTATCCAATATATACAATATACTATCTATATAAATAATAATGTAATGTTCATTTGTGGGATTGACATAACTCAAAAAACACTGGACGAATTGCCGCCAAATTTGGCCACAAGACACCTACTAACCCAAGGAGTGACCATCACTCAAAATTTTTTGATGTTATCATTTGGGAGTTGTAGTTGCTGGGATTTATAGTTCACCTACAATCAAAGAGCTTTCTGAACTCCACCAATGACGGAATTGAACCGAATGTGGCACACAAAACTCCCATGATCAACAGAAAACACTAGAAGGGTTTGGTGAACATTGACCTTGAGTTTGGGAGTTGTAGTTCACCTACATCCAGAGAGCACTGTGGACTCAAACAATAATGGATCTGAACCAAACTTGGCATGAATATTCCATATGCCCAAATATGAACACAGATGGAGTTTGGGGGAAATAGACCTTGAAAATTGGAAGTAGCAGTCACTGGGATTTATAGTTCACCTACAATCAAAAGCATCCTGAACCCCACCAACGACAGAATTGGGGCACACCTCCCACATAGAACCCCCGTGACCAACAGAAAATACTTAAGGCCATCTAGTCCAACTCCCTTCACAAGGGCAAGAAGACGTAATCAAAGCCCTCCTGACAAAGAGCCATCCAGCCATAGATATAGATAGATAGATATGATTCAAACACAAACACAGATATATATGATTCACACACAGATAGTATCATAGATATGAAAGGGACCCCTAAAGAAGGATAACTATATATTGCATGTTCCAGAGTAGGCAAACCAGACACTCTCCACATCAACACTGACAAAGAAACAGCAAGAAATACTGTTTACCCACAAGCATAAAGAAATTACATATATTAGCAACCAACACTTTCTCATTACTTTATTTTCCAGATCACCAGACTGGGCCACAGCAACGCCTGCCAGGGGATGGCTAGTATATAAATTATAGATGCAGACATACAATACAAACAACCACAATAACATTACCTTGGCGCAATCTCCATGATGTTGTTGGCTGTGACCAAGGGCTACAAGAATGGGATTTCTGCCTGTTTCCCCACTTTGAAAAGAGATTTGAAATCAAATATGCAAATTTTATGCAAATGAGCAACACTCATGCCATCTCTGCCCATCTCTGAACTGTCTGTCCCTTCTGCAGTTCATTCTGCGACCTCCCAGTCTTCCCCCAGCAGCCCCGCCCACAACCTTTACGTCACTCCTTTTCCTCCAATCATCTTTGAAGGCTCCGGAATGTTGCTCTTCCATTGGCTGGTATGACCCACCAATGGAAGGAGAGCATAGGCTGAAGCTTCTATATAGATCCTATATCATAGGAGTAAAAAAAACAAAACCAGAAAGGGCGGGAAATAGATACTTTTACTTCCGGTTTGTTGTATAGCTAAACTTGTCAAGGAAATAGGGGGAAATATAGCTGCATAAGAACTATACAATGATGTATTGATTGCTTTCATCTATATTTAAATTGAATATACTACATATACTTAATTATGTATTAATCTGTATTTAAATTAAATATACTAAATATAATTTATGCAATGCTTTTGATATGAAATAAAATAAATATATATTTTTGTGTCATTTGTTTTTTAACTGATGGCACATATTGTGTTTTGATGTTTTTGTTCACTGCCTTGATCCAGGAAGAAAGGCAGGTAAGAAATAATAATAATAATAATATACAAAAATGTGTCATTTTACTTTGCAGCTAAACTTGCAAACTGGCTCTTTTTGTGACAATTTGGTCAGACCTTGTTAAGGATATTATTGAACTGTGAATATAGTTCTACTCATCAATATCGATCATCTTCAATAAATATATGAATTATAGGGATTGCCATTTGTAATGAAATAGTATAAAAATATAATAAAATTATTAATAAAAATATTGATCTTCTTCCTAGCGTTTTCCCCACGAATTTGCAGGGTCCACTTGTTTGCTTCTTGTTCTCCACTTCTTCCTATCGGTTACGTCTCTCATTGTGAGTCTTGCTTCAGCCATGCTGCGCATCAAACAACTGAGCTGACATGTTTTAGCTTTGCCACGTGGCCCAACACCTGCAACTTCCATATTCAGTGGGGTTTTAGCCACGGAACCATCATCACTTCGTTCCACATGTCCAAACCATCTCAGACGGGATTCCTTCATCTTCAATATTACAGTAATGTCAGTCTATTATTAATCTTGACATATAAGTAAAGGTAAAGGTTTACCCTTGACATTAAGTCTAGTCAAGTCCGACTCTGGGGGTTGGTGCACATCTTCATTTCTAAGCCGAAAAACCAGTGTTGTCCACAGATGCCTCCTAGGTCACATGGCTGGCATGACTGCATGGAGCGCCATAACCTTCCCACCTGAGTGGTACCTATTGATCTACTCATATTTGCATATTTTCGAACTGCTAAGTTGGCAGGAGCTGGGGCTTACAGCAGGAGCTTACCCCGCTCCATGGATTCAAAAGGCTGACCTTTCGGTCAGCAATTTCCGCAGCTCAGAGGTTTAACCCACTGTGCCACCGTGCCCCCAATATTAACACATCATCATCCTCACTACCTCTGAGGATGCTTGCCATAGATGCAGGCGAAACGTCAGGAGAGAATGCCTCTAGACTATGGCCATATTGCCTGAAAAAACCTACAACAACCCATCATTTATTTATTTATTTACCATATTTATATACCACTATTCCCAGCCCGAGGGTGACTCAAGGTGGTTTACAAATGGCACAATTCGATGCCTGCAATAACATAAAAACAATTAAAACATCTAGCATAAGTAAAATTCAATAAAATAATAAAAATTATAAAAGTATCAATTATATGATTAATATTAATAATATTGAAGATCTATGGGTTTTCTAATGATTATTATTTTAATATTTGTCATGCGATACAACTTGTAACATAACTCACCATCAGACAAGTTTTTTCAGGTTGTCAAGCTGAATTATTCCTAAATATATCCTCATCCTGGCTTGATTTTAAGTCTATGTGCTGAATTAGTCTTAAATAACAATGGTTAATTATATAACAAAGGCGGATAAATTATGTAACAGTGGTGTTTTTAAAATTGTTTTTTAATTTTTAAATTAATTAATTTTGTTGCTTTGTAGATTTAATAGATTTATGTGTTTTATTTAATTATTTTAACTTTGTGAGTAGTTATAATTTGTTATAGATGTTTTATTTGTTCAGTTTGTATTGTTTTATGGCATTGAACGTCTATTGCAAACCGCCCTGAGTCCCCTTGAGGAGATAGGGTGGGTTATAAATAAAGTTATTATTATTATTATTATAAATATTACCAAGAACTAGTTTTCTAAGATCTACAGAGATACTCGCAGGAACACCTCAGCAAGCAAGAGTCCAAAAGTGGCAGGTTAAAACCCGGAACCTCAAGGCATGGCTGATACCAAATGAGAGACTCCCCCTCTGGGCACACAGAAGACTAGATGACTTGGAAGGTGCAGAACAGACTATGCTTTGCCACTATGAGATGCAGGGCCAACCTTAAGAAATGGGGCCACAAAGTGGAGTCCATGACATGTGAGTGCGGAGAAGGGGAAACCACAGACCATATATTACAATGCAGCCTGAGCCCTGCCCCATGCACATTGGAGGACAGTGGCCAGGTGCTGATCAAAAGACATTTACTGGGTTGTTGTAGGTTTTTTGGGCTATATGGCCATGCTCTAGAAGCATTCTCTCCTGACGTTTTGCCTGCATCTATGGCAATCATAGTATCATAGAATCATAGAGTTGGAAGAGACCTCATGGGCCATCCAGTCGAACCCCCTGCCAAGAAGCTGGAAATTGCATTCAAGCATCCCCAACAGATGGTCATCCAGCCTCTGTTTAAAAGCTTCCAAAGAAGGAGCCTCTACCACACTCCGAGGCAGAGAGTTCCACTGATGAACAGCTCTCACAGTCAGGAAGTTCTTCCTAATGTTCAGATGGAATCTCCTTTCTTGTAGTTTGAAGCCATTGTTCCTCAGAGGTTAACCTCACAAACTCTGAGGATGCTTGCCATAGATGCAGGTGAAACGTTGAGAGAATGCTTCTAGAACATGGCCATATACTCCGAAAAACCTACAACAACCCAGTGATTCCAGCCATGAAAACCTTCAACAATACAAAGGACATTTAGTATAATGTTTTTATACTTTGTGTTTTTAAATATATATTACAACTGTATCCTTGGTCTGCTTCTGATACAATAAATAAAATATTATTATTATTTGAAACACAACAAGATGAGTCCACAGCAGACACTCTGCTGGCTGTTGTATTGGATTACACGTCGGACACTTTCGAAGTGTCTAGGACTGTGTGATGTATCGGTGAATAATGCCTGCAGATCCCAGTAAGGTAGCCTTCTGCAGCTAGCAGATGGTAATCTTGTCAGTGCCAATTGTGTTTAAGTGCATGCCAAGGTCTTTAGGAACTGCACCCAGTTTGCCGATCACCACTAGGACCACCTTGACTGGTTTGTGCCAGAGTCTTTGCAGTTCAATCTTTAAATCCTCATATCGTGTCAGCTTTTCCAGATGTTTATTATTATTATTATTATTATTATTATTATTATTAATATAACCTCAGCCTCGCTTGACTTTAAGTCTATATGTCAGTCTATCTTTAAATCCTCATATCGTGTCAGCTTTTCCAGATGTTTTATTATTATTATTATTAATAATAATAATAATATAACCTCAGCCTTACTTGACTTTAAGTCTATGTGTCAGTCTATCTTTAAATCCTCATATCGTGTCAGCTTCTCCAGTTGGTGTTATTGGGTTGTTGTAGGTTTTTCTGGGCTATATGGCCATGTTCTGGAGGCAATTTTTCTCCTGACGTTTCGCCTGCATCTATGGCAAGCATCCTCAGAGGTAGTGAGGTCTGTTGGAACTAGGAAAAATGGGTTTATATATCTGTGGAATGACCAGGGTGAGACAAAGGACTTTTGTTTGCTGGGGCTAGCTGTGAATGTTTCAGCTGATCACCTTGATTTGCATTCAATGGCTTGGAAGCGCCTGGGGGAAATCTTTTGATGAGAGTGATTTTATGTGCCTGTTTGTTTCCCCTCTGTTGTTTTGCTGCTGTAATTTTTGAGTTTTTTAATACTGGTAGCCAGATTTTGTTCATTTTTGTTCATTTGTTGTTATTATTATTATTACTATTATTATTAATATACCCTCATCCTCACTTGACTTTAAGTCTATGTGTCAGTCTATCTTTAAATCCTCATATCGTGTCAGCTTTTCCAGATGTTGTTTTATTATTATTATTATTATTATTATTATTATTATTAATAATAATAATATACCCTTCAACACGCTTGACTTTAAGTCTATGTGTCAGTCTATTTTTTCATGCCTCTATAGTTTCCCCTTGCATCAGCTTTCTATCAAGGTAGAACGAAATACAAGAGGAATCCCCGCTAATAATAATAATATACCCTTCACCTCGCTTGATTTTAAGTCTATGTGTCAGTCTATTTTTTCATGCCTCTATAGTTTCCCCTTGCATCAGCTTTCTCTCAAGGTAGAACGACATACAAGAGGAATCCCCGCCTTTTCCACTCAGATCGACCAATAGGGCGAAGCCTAGCCCCCGAATGACCAATGGGAGAAGAGGGGCGGGGCTGCGTAAGGCATGGCGGGCTGCGGGCCTCTCCTCCAATCGGGTTTACCCCCAAGATAGACTGAGGGAGAAAAGGAAACCCCGCCTTTCCCTTCCAGCCCGACCAATAGAACAAAATCTAGTCTCGAAATGGCCAATAGGAGGAGAGGGGCGGGGCTGCGGAGGGGCGGGCTCTGGGCCTCTCCTCCAATCGGCAAGGCGGGGCGTGAGGGCCCTCCTCGTGGAAGTCAGTCTGGTGGGAGAGTCAGCGGGCGCGGGCGGGGTGCTCGCGGTCTGTGCTCTTCCGATGCCGATGTACAAGGTGAGGCCCTTCCAGGGCGGGCCGGGCTCCGCGGTGCCGCCCGAGCACCTCCCCACTTGCATGTACCGCCTGGGCAGCGTCCACCGGGAGCCCAAGGCCGGCCCCTCGGCCTCCTCTTCCTTGCCGCAGGCGGAGCAGGTAGGAAGCAGGCCTCGGCCTTGGAGGCGAGAGAAGGGCCTGCCTTCGTGGCGCTTTCGCTTTCAGTCCAGAGGCGGCCAGTCTGTGGCCTGTGTTTCTGTCTCTCTTCTTTGTAAACTAGGAGGGTGTTTTGTATACCTTTCATTTAATTGATGCAGATGGGTGCCTATATGTACCATATATGTTTGTGTGTACACGTGTATATGTATAGATATGTATAGGTAGATAAATTAACCTTCCCAATGCTATTCAAAAAACTACAAATACACACACACACATATATATGCTCTGTGCATAATGAGTACCTTAAAAACAAAAGAACCAATGAATGAAATCACACCAAATTTGGCAACAAAACGTCTCACAACACAAGGAGTGACCATCACTCAAAAAATTATGATTTTGTCATTTGGGAGTTGTAGTTGCTGGGATTTATAGTTCACCTATAATCAAAGAGCATTCTGAACTCCACCAACGATGGAATTGAACCAAACTTGGCACACAGGACTCCCATGACCAACAGAAAATAGAGGGTTTGGTGGGCATTGACCTTGAGTTTGGGAGTTGTAGTTCACCTACATCCAGAGAGCACTGTGGACTCAAATAATGATGGCTCTGGACCAAACTTGGCATGAATACTCCATATGCCCAAATATAAACACAGATGAAGTTTGGGGGAAATAGACCTTGACATTTGGGATTAGTAGTTGCTGGGATTTATAGTTCACCTACAATCAAAGAGCATTCAGAACTCCACCAACTACTGCATTGGGGCAAACTTCCCACACAGAACTCCCAAGACCAACAGAAAATATTTAAGGCCATCCAGTCCAACTCCCTTCATCAGGGCAAGAAAACGTAATCAAATACTGTTTACCCACAAGCATAAAGAAATTACATATATTAGAAACCAACACTTTCTTATTATTTATTTTCCAGATCACCAGACTGGGCCACAGCAACGCGTGGCAGGGAGTACACACACACACATATATATATATATATATACTAGTCGTCCCCTGCCACGCGTTGCTGTGGCCCAGTCTGTGTATATGTTTTGTGTTGTGTTTATTTGTGTATTGTATATATGTGTGTTTGCATATATATAGATAGATAGATGTATATGTGCATATGTGTGTATATATTTGTGTATTTCTGTCTTTATACGTACATATGTATATTGTGTATATGTGTGCAATTGTGTATATATGTGTGTACGTATGTCGATATGTATATGTGTGCATATGTATATGTAAATTTGTGTGTGCTTGTGTACATGTATGTGTGTATATGCAGAATCACCACAATCTGTGCCAATTCTCAGCAATGCATGTGATAAGTTAAAGGTAGTCCCCTGACATTAAGTCCAGTCATGTCTGACTCTGGGGTGTGGTGCTCATCTCCATTTCTAAGCTGAAGAGCCAGCGTTGTCCGTAGACACCTCCAAGGTCATGTGGCCGGCATGACTGCATGGAGCGCCGTTATTAGCATAGTACAATGTCATTATTAAATATTACTATATTGTACTATACCATTATATTGTAATATTAGTAATATTAAATATAGTATAAATATATAATTATAATATTATATTAGTATTCTATTTACTTTATAATATTATAAATATTATATGTATATGCAATATATTATATTACATTATATATGTGGATATGTATATTGTGTATATATGTGCGTTTGTGTATATATGTGTGTATATGTATGTGTATATTTTTGTGTGCATGTGTATATGTGTGTGTGTGTCTGTATGTGTATGAGTGTATGTGTATATATAGTTTATTTTTGGGGGTTTTAAGTCCGTTCTGCTGGAGGGTTTTTGTGTGTGTTTTAGGGGTGATGGACACTCATTGGCCTAATAGGTGTATTGTGTTCAAATTTGGTGTCAGTTCGTCCAGTGGTTTTTTAGTTAGGTTAATCTCACAAGCGAACATTACATTTTTATTTATATAGATATATACTCACATACACACAACACGAGGGTGGGTCAAAAAGTTTTGCCTCCTATGTTATCAATGAACATATAACAGCAGAAGTTGTACATATCATAGCCTGAACTGTTCTCTACACAAAACTCCCATTCAACATAGTCACCATCGATTTGCACACATTTACGCCGTTTAACCAATGTCCTATTAACTGATCTTTTCCATGTTCTGGCCCAACTTACCTGTCCAAACGCATCTCCACTTATGAACCTTCGAGGGTTTTAAGATCGTCTGGTGAGGCCCTGCTCTCGGTCCCGCCATCATCACAAGCCTGGCTGGCGGGGACGAGAGACGGGGCCTTCTCAGCAGTGGCCCCTCGGCTATGGAACGCCCTTCCTATGGAGATCAGATTGGCTTCTTCGCTTCTAGCATTTTGGAAAAAACTCAAGACGTGGCTATTCAAGCAGGCATTTGCGAATACTGAGTAATTAACGGACATAAGAAATGGAACAACTACATGATGGGGCTGGAAATTTTTTTAATGAGTATTTATTGAATTATTTTTTTTGTTATGATTATATTGATAACATTTTTATATTGTAATTATGTTTTTGGTGGTGGCATTGAATTTTGCCTTGTAAACCACCTCGAGTCACCGGAAGGCTGAGAGGGGCAGTATACAAATACAGTAAACTAATAAATAAAATGTTTACAAATATTTACCTCTTACAAATATGACAGTTATATTAATATTATGAAGACATTTAAAAAGGTATATATTATTATACGGTCCTGTCATGTTTTATTGCACTTAGCATCACCCAGTGAAGGTCTCGTCTTTCAGTATAAGATTTATTCCCTGAAGGCTTATTTGAATAGAAACGTTTAACGATATTACGAAGGGTGCTATTTTGGTCTCCCAGGGGGTGGGGTATTCCAGAACCATGGATAAGGCCCTCTCTTGTGCCACCACCAGCTGTATTTGGGATGGTGGCGGAAGCGAGAGTAGAGCCTCTCTGGACGATCTTGGGATTCGGGCAGGTTGGTTTGAAGAGATGCAGTTGGATAACTAAGTTGGACCTGAAATGTTTCGGGGCTTTAACAGTCAAAACCAGCACCTTGAATCGGGCTTGGAAACAGACTGGCAACCAGTGAAGGTGTGTGCTCCCTGTATCCAGCACCTCTTAAGCTATCTAGCTGCAGCTCGTGGAACTAGTTGAAATTTCTACGCACTCTTCTCTCTCTGTTTCTCTCTTTCTCTTTCTATATAGATATATATAAATGTAATGTTCGTTTGTGGGATTGACATAACTCAAAAACCACTGGATGAATTGACAACAAATTTGGACACAAGACACCTATTTATTTATTTCCTATATTTATACCCTGCCCTTCTCCCCCCGAAGTGGGACTCAGGGCGGCCTAACAAAAGCATCATACAATGTTAGCATCATAAAAACAACCACAGTACAATCAATATATTAAAAATTAAAACAACAATTAAAACACATCCATTAAAATCGAAATCCAAAAAACCAGTCCGGGTCAATTCATTGCCATAAGTTGTGTGATCTTCTTCCACTTGCTGCTCACTGATCAAACGCTTGGTCCCATAACCAGGTCTTGGTTTTCCTTCTAAAAGAGGGAGGTGGCCAATCTGATGTCTCTAGGGAGGGCGTTCCATAGGTAGGGGGCCACTGCTGAGAAGGCCCTGTCTCTCGTCCCCATCAACCGTGTTTGCGATAGTGGGGAGATTGAGAGCAGGGCCTCTCCTGAAGATCTTAAACTTCATGATGGTTCGTGGCAGGTTATATATTCGGACAGGTATCAGGCCAACAAGTGACCATCACTCATAAAAACACTGAAAAACACAGCGGAAGAGACTTAAAAAACCAATAAAACAAAAAATACATTACAATGCATGTATATACACAAACACACACATATATATGCACATATATACACAGACTGGGGCACAGCATCGAGTGGCAGGAGCTGGATAGTAGTGTATGTATGTGTGTATATATATATGGCTGTAGTTACACTTTAAAAATGTATCTGTTCTGACTTGCATGCAAATTCAAATTAAGAATAAACCTACAGAACCTCTCTTGTTTGAAACTTGGGAATGGCCTGTATGTATACATTTAGAAGCTACACTTCAGTGAGAAATATGAATATATGGTTCTGAAAGAGCTAGGTTGAATCAAGCATAAAAGAAAAGCAAGATCCGACGTGAATTCTTCAAGAAATTGTCTGGCTCGTTGACATTAAAACATAGAAATCTAGCAAAAAGGTTTGATCTTCCTAATTGCATTCATTTGGGAACACCCAGCTTTGAGGCAACTATATTGTTTAAAGCAGGCATGGGCAAACTCAACCCTCCAGGTGTTTTGAAGTGTTAATGGTAGTGTTACCGCGTGCTTATAATTTTAGTGAATAGCATCAGCAGTTCAGAAGAATTCCAAGAATTCCTTCTCTTTGATTAAAAGATGTAACTTAAAACTAGGCTTTCCTTGTTGATATAAAACTCTTAACTACATCCTGACTTACCTATATTTGTTTGGCATATATCGACAGCAATTCTTCATGCCTTTATACACTATGGTGGCTGCAGTCTGAATTGAGTGAATGACAATCTAAATCTTAATTTAGGATGAAGTTGATCCGTCCCTTCAAGCTCTGGAATCCCGCCAGGAAGAGATCTTAAAGCGTTTGTATGAATTGAAGGCTGCTGTGGATAGTCTCTCCAAGATGATCCAAACGCCAGATGCAGATTTTGATGCTACAAACATAATCCAGGCAGATGAACATGTTCCTTTAACGGCCAGTTCTGCAGACCTGGATAATTTACTTGGAAAGGCAAGTCCAGATTAACCTTGTCATGGGAGAGCATTTCCTGTCTAGTGAGTGGATTAGCCGGGTAAAAGCTTCTGTGTGAAGTAACGAGGCTTTGACATTCTAGGAAATTTTCAAATGTTTAGAATTTTGCTCAGTCCCAGGCTGCCTGCTTCTGCTAAGTGACAGATATTTTTAAAGCAGGTGTCGTTGTTTTGCTCCTTTATAGAATATTGTCACTTTATAAATTAAATTGCTAGTTTGAATTCTAACAATCCAGCCTTGAATGTGATAAATGGGTTGTGTCAAGATACAGGTGAATTGAATGACTCTTAGCCAATGCATTGACACAGTGAGAGGTCCAAATTCAAAAGCCTTCAATATAAAACATATTCCTTTGGATGTATCTGTCTCTCCAACAATTACCTTGAGATTTTAAATAATAATAATAATTTTATTTATATCCTGTCCTATGGAGAGCAGATATGTGAATGGTTTATGAACTCATATGTTTTGCCAGTAGTAAAGATATGTCCCTTCCTACAGTAGTAATTGCACTACTATTATGAGAAATGACATATAGTGCATTCTCTCTCTCTCTCTCTCTCTCTGTATGTGTATGTATATATATATATATATATATATATATATAGGAAAAACCTAAAAATCTGAAGGTTAAACATATTAATTACCCCTTCTTTTGATGCAGGACTATAGTGCACTGAAGGATATTGTGATTAATGCCAACCCATCACACCCTCCACTGTCACTGTTAGTACTTCACAGCTTGCTGTGTGAGAGCTACAAGGTACTGTCAGCGGTCCATACACACTCATCTGTGAAGAGTGTGCCAGAGAATCTCCTGAAATGTTTTGGTGACCAGGCTAAGAAGCAATCGCGTCACGAATACCAATTGGGCTTCACACTCATTTGGAAAGATGGTAAGTCTGACCCATCGGAAAGGAGGGGGATATTTATTAGTAACAGGCAGAAGGAACTCCTGATCTTGATACGACAAGTAAACTATTTGCACTATTCCATTCAACTTGTTACTATTAACATAACTTGCAAACTTGATGGCTGACTGAAATGGCAAGAAAGATAGATCAGGCTGTGGTTAGGAATACTTTTAAAGAAAACAGTACAGTACATTTTTATATCATGCTCAAAATGAATGGGAGCGAACACAGACTTTGTCAAAGACCCTTTGCAACCAGATGTCTACAACATAAAGAGCATTTTTGATAGGTTATACTGCGTAATTCAAACTGATTTGTTTTAATTGTCAAATTGTTTTGTTATTTTAAATCTTTAAATTGTTTTCAGAGTATTCTAAATTGATTTATCTGTACATGGGATAGAGCAGGAATGGGCAAAGTTTGGCCCTCCAGGTGTTTTGGACTCCAACTCCCACAATTCCTAACAGCCTACCGGCTGTTAGGAATTGTGGGAGTTGAAGTCCAAAACACCTGGAGGGCTGAACATTGCCTATGTCTGGGATAGAGGATAGGATGTAAATATTTTAATAAAACGCTGCATTCTTTTTCGCTAGAATCAGCATTCTCAGCTGTCCACAGCAGTTTTGGAACCAAGGTGACAATATGAGCCTGTACATACATCTTTCCAGGAATACTTTCTAAAAGGTGGAAGCACTGGATTTGTTAATTAGATTGTATGACAGGGATGGAAATCATGGAACTGTCTAGATTTTGTAATTTAGCCCATGGTGAACAATGCTGGGAGTTATAGTCCTTCACTGTCTATAGAAGGACATGATTCCCACCTGTTTTATGGGACAGTTGCACAAAAATACCTTAAGTAGACACTGATTTAAGCTTTCGTAGTTACCTAGGACTTCATAGATACAGTAACAATACATTCTAAGCATATTTATCTGCTCCTTTGAAGCATTTCCTTTCGTCTAACATTGTGATTATAATTTCAGTGTCAAAACCCCAGATGAAGTTCCGCATTCAAACTATGTGTCCCATTGAAGGAGAAGGAAACATTGCTAGGTTCTTGTTCTCCTTACTTGGTCAGAAGCACAATGCCGTTACAGCAACTCTGATCGATAGCTGGGTCGATACAGCCATCTTCCAACTGCAGGAAGGGAGCAGTAAAGAAAAGGCAGCCGTTTTGCGATCCATGAATGCAGCCCTTGGCAAGGCCTCCTGGTTGGTGGGAAACGAACTAACCTTAGCCGACATCGTGGCCTGGTGTGCAGTTCAGACAACGGGGAGCACAAATGCTGTTCCACCTAATGTCCAAAACTGGCTGAAATCTTGTGAAAATCTGGCAGCTTTCAATTCTGCTCTCAAGTTACTGAAGTAAACCTGTCTGGTAAAAAGGGAGACAAGTTCGAGTATTTTCTACATCTTATTGTGGCTGTGACAGTGTGTGAAGTTTAAGACGGTAACTGTGAAATGTCTTAAAGATGCTAATAAATTCATCAGAATTGCCTTTTGTGACTGTATTTTCAGAGTTTGTATTTTGAATCCTCGCCTAAGTGGCCTCAGGGTTCATTCATTTAATGCGAAATATGACTTCTGTCTTCTTCGTGACCCAGACAAAATGACAGGCATATGCACAAAATTGTGTGAGATTTTTTTATATAAAAAATTAGAACATCTTTCAAAGCACCATATAAATATAGTTATCTGGTTTAAACAGGAGAGCCGAGTTCCTGACTCCTGTGTCTTTCCTCTTTCTCTTGCAGCAATAGCTGGACTCTTTCTTTAAGCAACCTGATTTCTTCTTCTTGCTGTATTACTTTCTGTTGCAGACTGCAAATAACCTAAAGATGAAGAATACAATGATAATATTTTATATCCTGAAGAGCGCCATATCTTAATAGCAGGCACTTTCTCCATAAAAGTCAGCATGCCAGGACTGTTTTATATAAGTCTAATTACGTACCCATGGCAGGTGTTTTCAGTTAAATTACACTTAATGCCCCCAAAGGCATTTTTGTCAAATGCTAGTACTATGTTAACTACTACTAGTTATTGACAAAAGTCAAAGTTCACACAAATACAAAGAAAATTATTCTCTAATTCAATTATGCTGTTTTGATATTTTCCTTCCCGTAGCTTCCTCAATTCGGAGTGAAGCTAAATTAAGATGAATGTGTGATTATCAAAGAACTGGTGGGTGAAGAAAGAAATTAAAGCTCTACTACCAGCACGTCCGCAATCCAGTATCACATAGGAGAAAGGCTATTTTCCTTTTGTGAAATCATGCAAGGATGTGTTTTTATGTCACTATTTAAACTGACACCCCCCCCCCCCCCCCCCAAATCTGATATGTGCAACTGACTGCCTGATGTACAGGCTTCTCTAGTTCTAGACTCCATGACAGCTGCAGATCCCTCCAACTATTCTTAACTGTATATAAAATGCCAGATGGTATACTGTTACAAGAAATTCTGGTTAGTTATTAGAAACAAGGTCATGAAGTAGTCAGTTTTATACAGTATCAGATATCAATGCTGTGTCTGATAGCACTTTCTACAAGACTGTAAATTAAACAAACAAGTATATTGACAACTGCTAAGAAGATTTAATTTGCATACAAGAATGTACTCTCAATTTATTGATGCAAAAATAACTAAAAACATACATTTGCTGTGTTATGGAATAGTTCGCTTTCAAGAAGTTGAGCAGCAGTTGGTCTGTTTGAAGATTTGAGGCTGGTTAGCAGCTTAATGTATTTGGTCTGTACTGGCCATTTACTGCTAAAAGAGAGGGGAATGTTGCTATTCCTTAAGTCCATCAAAACTTTAGTTCTCTCCATTTCAGTTCCAAATGGCTGGAAAAGCTCAAACAGGATGACACCCAAGCTGTACATATCTGACTAGAGGCAGAAAAGAGAGGAGTTCGGTATTATCATAAAATAATGTCTAAAACTAAAGTAAAGGTTGTTCACACCATATTAAGTACTGAAAACAGCTTCAGTTTAATTCTAATGCAATGAAAAATATGGGCTCTGCTAAATTTTGAAATCATTTGTGAAGATAGTGTTTTAACTATAATTATTTGGGATTACGTATATGAATGGATACTATACAAAGCTGACATTGTCACTGTATTGGCAAATAAGGAAGGAGACACTTATTCCTTCCCTGGGAGGGAGTTCCTAATTGGCATGTAATTACCCAAATGGCTGCACTACACTTTTGTTTCCCCTTTCCAACATTTACTTTGACCAGCCTTTTGAACATGTATGCTGAAAGATAACAGTTATGCTTTCAACATAACAGAAGTACAGTGGAGTCTTGCTTATCCAACCTTCGCTCATCCAACATTCTGTTTTATTCAATGCAGTCTTCCTCCTGCCCGGATATTGCAATTTTTCAATACACTGCGTTATTTTGGGGCTAAATTTGTAAACACAGCAATTATTACATAACACTACAGTGTTCTGAACTGCTTTTTCTGTCAATTTGTTGAAAAACATCTTTTGGTGCTTAATTGGTAAAATCACAACATAATTTGACGTTTAATAGGCGTTTCCTTAATCCCACCTCATTATCCACCATTTTCACTTTTCCAACGTTCTGCCGGCCCGTTTATTTTGGATAAGCAAGACTACTGTACTGCAATTGAGATCACTTTAAGAAATGATATCTCAACTAGATTTAGGTTATTCTACCTTAACATCATAGTGAGAACCTTCTAGTTGTTCAGGTGAAGCATACAAGCAAGTGCCAACTCCAGATGTATGCATTAGTTCTGTGCAAAGAAACAACAAAGGGACAATTTCAGGTTTACATTAAGAAAAGTATTAACCTGAAGCAGTATCATCTGAAACATTAATTTCCAATTCAAACCAAATCTTTGAAATTACCCGTTCTCTTCTTTGCACTTAGCAAGTGGATTGGATCTTCTTGTATAATGTCTCTACAGGCCAGCCCAAAGTCACCTATTTTCACATGGTAGTCAGATCCTTGTAGAAAGATATTTCTGGGCTGTAAAAGCAGGAGCTCTGGGTTAGTTGTTTCAGAGAATTTTGGCAATTTTTTACAACAAGAAATGCAAGCATTTTCCAGTCTCATGAAGGCATTTCCACCTATCTGCAAAAGCATGTTGGCTGCAAAAAGCAAAGGTAAAAGGTAAAGGTTGTCCCCTGACATTAAGTCCAGTCTGGGGTGTGGTGCTCATCTCCATTTCTAAGCCAAAGAGCCAGTGTTGTCCATAGACACCTCCAAGGTCATGTGGCTGGCATGACTGCACGGAGCACCGTTACCTTCCCGCCAGAGCGGTACCTATTGATCTACTCAAATTTGCATGTTTTCGAACTGCTAGGTTGGCAGAAGCTCACTCCGCTCCCCAAAATCGAACCTGTGACCTTTCGGTCAACAAGCTCAGCAGCTCAGCACTTTAACCCACTGTGCCACCGGGGGCTCCAGCAAAACTAAACCACAAATCAGGAAATTATGTAAAAAAGACTTTTCTACACAGGTATTTCCTAGGTCCAAATAAGGTGTCATCCCTGCCAAGGCAGGAGAACCAATCAATCATCCAATTCAGGGTAGAAAATGTGTGACCGTACAGAAGCTGGACTACAACTCCCATTAGCCCTAGATAGCATCGCTGATGGTACAAGATGAAAAGTAATAGCCAAACATCTTGAAAGTTACACATTCCCTATTATTACTTTCATTGGTTCTAGAACTAGACACTGCATCATCACAAATAACTGCCGGTCCAAGCCCAGAATTCTGGACTTCATTTTCCTCAGACAAAGGATTCACAGTGAGGCATTTTCTCTCCTAAGATGGGCAATCTGACTGGAGGCTCCTTCAGGCAGAACAACAAGGTACCAGACAGAAATAACAGAAGCCATAATGACCAATGTCATGTTTCAAAATTCAGCCTATCAGCTTATTAGTTTCAGGGTCTACTTCTAAATGACCAGCATCAAAGTACCACAACTAGTTGTAGAGAGTTAATTTTGCTAAATCATACTAAATTCTTGTGAACACATCCCTCTGTATATCAAAAATGTCAACTATATTTTGACATCAAATCCAAGTGGTCAGTTTTTGCCAAATATTTGTCCCATTGGTTGATGTGAACAACCCCAGATCTAGAAATAGACAAAATTAAGGAGAAATCGGAACTGAAAGTATCTCATGTTTCCAATTTTAATTCTGCTGCTCTTTCAGGTTACTATAGCTGTCCCCCCATATCATTGGTAGACTTCTTTTTTTTTGTGATTTGATTATTCACAGGTTTGTAGCTGCCACTTCCTCTTCAATCACCTGGCCCTCCAACAGTATCTGTTAGATTTTAAACTGGCAGCCTTTCCATCTTGACCCACTCCTTTTCCTCTCAATCCTCTCCTCCCAAACCCTGGTCCTTTCCAAAAGACCCAGCCAGATTTTAAACTCCTATGTCTCCAGCTCCAGATTCTAAATATATAAAAATAGTCAGAATACATCTAAAACTTAAGCTTTTGAAAACCATTTTTCAACCAACATATCCCTATGTCCACAGAACCATAAAGGCTTTGAATTGAGTCACATTTTATTTCAACTTCACAAAGAACTACAATTCAATTCAAGGGTTTCAGCTCGGGAAACTAACCCAATAAGATTATCACAGTCCTGCAAACATGTAAGAAAAACCATTGAGCAAGAACTTGTAAACCTAAACTTGTTTTTCATTATTATTTTAATTTCTTTCCTCTCTGGGATGAATGGCACAATCAAAGCTGACAAAGAAACCACGTGGAAGATGGATGAAACAAAATACACAGAATGAAGATCCTGAAATGAGGTAGTGTTTCATCAAAACTATAAAAGGCACTGGAATTCAGATTGGGTGGAAGACAAAAGAAAATCCCAAGGCCCTCAAACCCAGGATTGCAGCTTCATTCGCCCAGTTTTTTGTGCTGTGCCTGGAACAGATTTAAAATGTATTTGGCATATCTTGCACTCCTATAACATACACCCCAAAGGGTATAATATCATTGTCTAGTAGAAAATGTTAACAGAGGTTCCCAACCTTTAGTCGTCCAGGTGTTTGGGATTTAGCTCCCAGAATTCCTGATCATTGGCCAAAGTAGTTTAGACTTCTGGGAGCTGAAGTCCCAAACACCAGGATTAATAGAGTAACACTGGGCAATTCCATGAAAGAAAACTAATCCTGTTTACTAAAGGGGTAACGCTTAAAGGCACATAAGAAGGTACTGGATTGATATTTTACTGCAGGCCTCTTCAACCTGTGGCCCTTTCACGTGCTTTGGCTTCCAACTCCCAGAAGCCCTAGCCAACTTGTTCAATGGTCAGGAATTCTGGGAACTTAAATCCAAATCACCAGATTAAAGAGGCCTGCCTGACAGGCTTTCCCCAATGATAAGGTGAGAAGGCTGTCTTCTAGATCAAATACCCCCAACCTAGTGCCATTCAGGGATGCTAACACATTGTAGCACAGGAGAAATAGAAACTGCACATATGTCACCGTCTACTTCTATCACTATCCACACAGTCGAGAGACAACGGGATGTTCTTCAAGCAAGCATCAAAGAACTGAGGAAAGTAATAATAAAGTTGCACTTCACCTCAAACTAAAGGAAGACTTCAACAAGACGAGGCCTCTGTTCCCTCCCCCTGACTACCATCCTCTTCATTTAGCGATCGTCACTGGATATCCTCACATCATACCAGGTTTGCTAAAGCGTGGGGCACAAATAAATGACAGAGATATGGCAGGACGAACTGCTCTCCATCTGGCGTCCGAAGTGCTCAACCTAGAGGCTATGACACTTTTACTCCGCTGTGGAGCCAACGTAAACCTCACAACCCCTGCCACAAGAGAAACAGCACTCCATTTAGCTGTCCGGTCTTCCTCTTGCAAAGCCGGGATCATCTTAGCGGCAGGTAGCAAGTGTGTTGAGTTGCTGTTGTTTAATGGAGCAAACATACACATGAAAGACTGGAAAGGACAAGAAGCTATTCACAAAGCTTGTCGAAATGGCAGAGAAGATATCATTAAGCTTTTGTTCAATTATGGGGCGGATGTGAACTCTTTAACCCCAGAAGAGGAGTCTCCACTGTTTCTGTTCCTTGAAAAACCAAGCAATTTAAGGAAGCTAAATGTGCTGAGGGAGCTACTACGCCTAACCTATCCTTTGAAATTAATGAACTCCAAGGGCCATCTCCCCAAAGCGCTGTACAATCCCAGCTGTGAGCTACTGCATGACCTGCTCAGGGATATGGCTGCGCAAGTCTGGTCCTTGCAGGACATCTGCAAATTCAATGTCAGGAAAGTATATAGAGGAACCATGAAATGCTGGCTAAAAGGGATGATTCCAGCCCAGTTGTGGAACTCCATATATATTCGTCAAGAATATTCATATGCTTCAAAAATGAAATGATTCATTTACTTGAGGCCCAACACTCATTTTGGAACATCATTAAATGAGAAGACCAGAAACGGAGCTCCACTATGCTAGCTAAATAAATGAATGTAGAATTGCCTGCGCTTTCTCAATGAGTCCTAATTCTCTTGAATATTTCAATAGTGTTTATTTACATAAAATGGTGAAGTAGTCTACAACAAGACCACTGTGTTTAAAGATACATACAGATACATTTTCATGAAAAAAGACAAGTTTTGTCTTTACTATGAAGGTACAGGTGGTGCCAATAACTATAATAACAATAAGATATAACAGAGCTTCAAGCAAGCATCAAAAGCTGAGGAAAGCAATAATAAAGTTGCACTTTATTATTATAATAACAATAAGATATAACAGAGCTTGTGAAGTTTGGAGTAATTTCTTGAGAAAAAAAATGAAATAAAGACATGGACAAACCTGTAACTGTAAAAGCAGGGAAAGGGTTGCAATTAGAAAGGATTGAACAAGAATATTCTATACAAAAGTATTCTAAATGTTAGTAGATCAACAGGTACCACTCTGGCGGGAAGGTAATGGCGCTCCATGCAGTCATGCTGGCCACATGACCTTGGTGGCATCTATGGACAACGTCGGCTCTTTGGCTTAGAAATGGAGAGGAGCACCACACCCCAGAGTTGGACACGACTAGATTTAATGTCAGATGAAAGTTTTACCTTTACTATTCTATACCTTTCCTGGATCTAAGCCAGTATATTTAATCTTTATTTTATATATTTTAACTAGCATCTTATTTTTAATTCACTGTAGAATGTGGGAACTGAATTCTCTTTACAAAGAAAGTTAAAGAGCCTCAGTCTTCTGTCTGAAAAGTGTATTTTAACTTACTTTAATATCCCGGTGCATAATTTCCATACTGTGGATATAATACACTCCTTCAAGTAGCTCTTGGAAGATTTTTAATGTCCCTTGATTGTCTACGTGGTGATATGGACCTTTAAAATGGAAGTAGTTATTGTTTTTCAATATGCAAAAACAATACAGAGCATCTGTCTATGTTAACAAACATATTCTGTCCCTGTTTAATAAGGTATGACAGGTGAGCCTTTCAAGAAAATGTCAGTCTAGATTGGTCCAGTTCATGTTTCCAGTCAAAACAAGACTTAAACAGAAACTAATTCTATGAAATGTGAAGTTAAATAAAAGTGAAATAAAGAAGCAGATGAAATGGAAATAAAAAAGAAATGAGGTATATAAGACAATATTTATTTATTTATTTACTTATATACCGCTGTTCTCAGCCCGGGGGCGACTCACAGCGGTGTATAACAAACAAGAACAGCAAGATTCAAAACTACAGAATAAAAACAATTCACAACCTAACACTATACACAGTTAACACCATTACTACGATAACTTAAGTGAATAATATAGGCAGGACCTACTGAAAGAGTTAAAGAATCGAAAAAAATAAGTTTGAATAATTCATTACAATGTGTCAATTTTATTTCTGTCATTTTTATTTAGGGAATGGGATCATATAAATCATGTTAGAATCATAGAGTTGGAAGAGACTACAGGGGCCATCCAGTCCAACCCAATTCTGCCATTAAAAAAAACAATGAAAGCCCTCCTGACAGATGGCCGTCCAACCTCTGCTTAAAAACCTCCAGAGAAAAAGACTCTAGTGGATTCCCAGGCAGCATATTCCACTGTTGAGTAGCTCTTACTGTCAGGAAGTTCATTCCAATGTTTTCCTGCCATCTGCATCCAGACACATTTTACCAACAGCTTTTCTGTTCCATCTCAAACAGCCACTTAAAACCTCTGCAGTCAAGATGTATGATCAATAATCATTAGATTATTCTGTGAAAGCAGGAGGCCTTAAGGATTTGTTGCACTATGCCCAGACCCAATTAATTTTTTCCAATTATTCAAAGAGCTATCTATTTGAACAAAAAATTATGTTTAAATGGTCAAACAAATTTGGGAGGTAAATACTTGCATAACTGCAGGTAGGAAATACCATGTTTTTGGAGACATTCCCTTTTGCTTCAAGAAATGCCTTTCAAATATGGCACCTGCTCAAACAAAAATGAACTTCACCTTAAGGATAAGCACGCTCCCCTCTTCTTTAGAAAGACTTCCTTTCATATATAACTTCTTGAATTATTCAAAATGTTTTTGATCCATTAATCTGATAATAGACTTTCGATTTAGAAAACGTCATTAACCAGCGATCTTTTTATTAATCTGGACAGGAAAGGATCTCAAGAGTTTTAGATTGCTGTGCAGCAGCAAATGCAGAAAACATTTAGTGGTCACATCAGGCAGACAGGCAACTTGAGATATACAGGTTGATCTCTGGGTGATTCACAGTAGATCTGCAAGGAGTTCAGACTCACAGTTTTTAAAACAGATGACTCTCTAACCGTCCATCCTACATTGTATGGATGAAGTTAAATGTAGGTAGCCAAGAATGTTACTTTTTATGAATATACCTCTGTTCAGTTCCAATATTCAAAACAGATACTCAAGTTCAAAATTCCGTAACTAAATTGGCATGTTTTGCACCTGAGTTTCAGGGTTCTACTGCAAGCAAAGTAGATCCCAGAAAAAGGGCACTTCTTTCTGCCCTGGGAAATAATGATCATTTAGATATAAATTCTACCATCAGAAGCGGAAAATAACATTTCAAAATCATGGCAACCTATTTTTTTTAAAAAAAAAAGTTTAAAGCTTACTGGAAGCATCCTCTGCTTTGAAACAGCTTTGATTTCGGTCGGCAATCCAGTCCCACAATGATATTTCACACAGCTGCATCTGTATGTGAAGCATCAGATGATACTCCATCTGAAAAGGAAGGATTAATAAAGGTTCTCTCAATGTGCTACATGTATATCCACCTAGGGCTGTATCCAATATGGTCTTTGTGCCTTCCAAAATCCTATGCCTCCTGCATCACTCTCCAATGCACAAAATCTCTTAATGTGGAGAACTGGACAAAAGCGTTTTAGTGCCATAGAAGGTTACCAGAGGGAACCACCTAAAAATCCTGGCACAGTTAATAGATAAGTATTTAAGGCATGGTACAAGGCATGTTCTGTATCCCTGGCAGCTGCCCCACAAATTTCAGGCTACTCTGGGGCTCTATAATATCCCACCACAGATGCCATCTTATCAAGCAGAAGCAATGACACATCAAACCCAATTCGGGGCAAATTTTATTTAACACTGTTTCTGGGTGGCAGATGCTTGGCATTTTAAAACCAGAATGGGTTAACAGAACTGTCAGTTTTAACCAAAGACCTAAATCACCAGATGCTACCCGATCTTGGGGGCTAAGCAGGTCCCGCCCCAGGCTGTTTGGAAACAAATCTGCTTATGTTCTGTGTTTACCTCACATTGCTGCAGCAAAGAAACCCCTTTCTGGGATGATTGTTCATCACTGTAAGAATCATTTGTGTTCATGTTGTGTCGATCCTTATCACGGTGAGGCACAACTGATGCAGGGGTTTCATTGTATTTTAAAACACCAGAACTGTCATTTGAGAAGCTGTTTTTGTGCAACTTGTGTACAGCGTTTTTTTCAGAATTTCCGTCAACAGAATCTTCAGGGTTGAGGTCGGCAAAGACAATGGAACTGCTGTCTTCCATATCCTGATCACAGCATGGATCTCTGCAAAAAATATGAGGGTGATCCTCAAACAGTTGCAGAAGTCCTTAAAAAGAAAAAAAGTCTTGAACTCCCCTAAACCTTTTAACTAAAGTGCAATTCAACTGAGCTCACAGAATCCTCACTATTTGGAGAAAGAATTGAGACGAATAGGAAGACCCTCCACACTTGTGGGTTTAACTTTTTCAGATTTAATTATGGCAATATTTTCTGTCTAGTAATCTCTAGTTCTTCCATGGTGACTCTACGCTCAACTTTCACTGGAAGGTTTCAATTTTGACAGACAAAATAAACAGCCTCTACTTTTTTGTTAATACTATTTATGGAAATATTTGCTATTAATCGGGCATTGTGAAATATTTATCTTCTTCAATCTCCTAATTAAAAGCAAAGATAAAATACTTTGTTCTTCAGTCTAAAAAACAATTCCAATTGTAATATTAATACCAATTCTCTGATATTTTTGGACATTCTAAAGAGCAATTTGATAACATATATGCAATACATACACAGAACTTCCTTGCTCAGAACACACTTTGAGTGATGGCAGATTTAGGTTTGGTTCACCTATAATTGAATGAGAAACATTACATTTTATTCAATACTTTACAACATACCCCTGCATTCATTTCTCCAACCTCAAAAGATGATGATGATTATTATTATTATTATTAATCAACTTTAAAAAATGTATAGGAAATTAAAATACTAATACATTAAACTTCAAAAATTAATGTTATCTTCCCTAAAAAAAATTAAGGTCACTGCCCCCGAGTCCCTTCAGAGAGATAGGGCAGAATATAAATGAAGTGTATTATTCAGTCATGGCAGTTAAAGTGATTCTGCAGTGTAGATGCAACCTGGGATGCACTGCATATTAACTCCTGCATGGAAGGGTGCAAGTGACACACAGAAGCCATAGCGTTGATATGCTATACTCACCTTTCATGCATGTCGGTTGAACATGCTCCATCCATGCAGTGTGGTAACCTACAATGTTTGGGTGCTGCAGCCCAGCCAACACTTTCACTTCCCGTAATACCTTAAAAAAGACCAAACATAACACACTGGATGCACTGGACTACCCAGCATCTAACATATTTCTAACAGTTCAGAAACTGGTACCGAAATAAAAGAAGAGGTACCCCACTTTTAAACTAATAATAGTATAATTCTTGTGGTAAAGGGTCAAAGCTCAAGTCAGAGGATATGCTTTCCATGCTGCTGACCCCAGAGTCAATTCTTGATGTCTCCAGGCTAAAGATCAGGTGGAAGATTTGGGAAGGTCACAGTAGGAACCTCTAGGGTAGATGGATAAACAACCCAATCTAGAATAAGGCAGGTTCCATTCATGTAGCAAAAAAGGCTTCTTTTGATTCAGAGGATGTGAATGGCTGAAGCATGCATACATACCTTCATGCAGTCTCTTTTGGTGGCCTTCTTAATAAGAATCTTTTTAATTGCATAGAACTGACCATCGAGCTTGTTTCTGACCTGAAAATAGATTGTCCTTATGCCAATTAACATCAAATCTAAATAAAAATTAGCTAAATGACATTCCATATGCACCTCCACTCTATATCACTTTTGCCCACTCACGATACTACAAAATGATTCCCTGGGCACTAATACAAAGAAAGGTGGCATAAAGGTGGAAGAAAACATAAGGCAAACTTACAGGCAGGTTCATCACCAAGAGAAGTCTTTTGGCTTCACCTTCTGCTTTTAACTCACCCACTGAAAACTCAGATTATTATCACAGCTGCAAACTGGGATAGTTGCTAAACAAGTGTAATATCCAAAACTTGTCCCAAGCAAGCTGATTTCATCCCTGTTTTATGAACAATACTTCTCAATTAATTTAGTGATTGGTTTGGAATTAGTTTATTCTGTATGGAATTAAGTCTATTTATACTCTTTATCCCAAACTGTCTCCAATATGAAATCCAGCCTAAACACAGAGGGAAAATGATAAGGTACAGGATTGTAATCCTACTTGTTGTTCATTTTAATGTAAATAGTTCTTAATAAGTTGCTGACAGAGCATCAAAATACCTTGTATACTGTTCCATATCCTCCTTTTCCAAGTCTTGAAATCTCATCGAATTCATTAATGTAGCGAGAAGTCTGTGCTTCAAAAAGAATACTTTCCCTACTTTAAAAATAGACAAATTCAAAAATTTAAAGTCCTGAAAAAAGACCCTTCTTTTAAAATACCTTTACATTGTTCAGTACAGACAAATCACAGACACAGGTATAACATTACTAGGTGTCAGAGACACGTTTTTATGTAAGATACACACTGACTTGTCTGCTAAATAGCACCACTACAAGTCTCTACATTGAAATAATAGTAAATCCCAAACATCTACATATATGGACTATCTATCCAAAACTCAAGAAGTTCTGCAGAATTAGTCAGCGTCTTGACCCTCATGAGATATCACTATCCTTGTCAAAACAAGCTCACTAAGAACATGACAAAAAACAAAGCATGGTTTTGAATCCTGGTTTATTCTCAATATGGCAGGAATTACCATATGTGCGATTCACAGGGACCACGATGGGAAAATATAGTTCCCTGAATTCAGAACACCACAGGCAATTCTGTTATGTTTAAAAAAAAAAATGAAGCTTTCAGTATTATCTTGGGATGCCCTGACATTTCTACAGCTTGGTACCTAACATTACATTACTTTTTGTTCCAAGCCTAATGCTAATTTGCATTTTATAACTGTGAAACAGAGAAGCTGATAATTATCTTAAACATGTGCACTGGAAATAAGCCTCACTGAGTTCAACAGATCCCATTTCTGAATAAAAAGACTGAACAACTCATACAGTTGTCACAGTTTTCTGTTTATAACCTTTTAGAGTTTATAACTTCAATCTTGGTTATAGTTCTTTGATATCTTACCTGTTTGTGCATGGATTACCATTACCAAACTCCTGCAAAACATAACAAAAAGCAAACATTTCATAAAACAAATGGCTAAATAATGTATATGAATGTAGTAACATATGCAGTATGTTTAAAAACAGCTACTTGTTTCCTCTTCTAGCAAAATTAAAATGAAACTGAAATCAAAGAAATGTCAGCCTTAAACTTTGTTCATTTTTGTTTATATTTACATAAAATCTAGAATGTCCCAATATTCACTCTTCCAACCATATATCCTCTGTCTATTCTCCACTCCCCCAGTCCATTCTGTGAAGTGAAGGAGCAAGCTGGAATGTCGATTTTGTTTTCTCTAAACCTATACAATTTCGCTCAATTTATAAACACATCTGTGAACTCCTACTGAGCACATTAATATCTGTCCAGATAAGACCAATGATAATCTTTATAGCTCTCTCACCAAAGCATGATCAGGGAAATCTAACTGTATTTCTATAAGTCTTGTTTAATTTAAAGTCAAACAAGAGGAAGAAATGATGGGATTCATGGAGCAGGTATCTCAGCAGCAAAAAACACAGCAGGGCAGGAGCCAGTCATGTTATCTTGGGAGAATACTGTTGATTCCAACCTGTCTTCTGGTTTCAATAATCGAAATAGCAATGGTAACACTCTTCTTGGGTTGAAAATTATGCTGCTCAAAACCAGTGTGTGAACAGGAAATCAATTACTATTCTGGATTTGATTCTGGGTGAGCCTGTAGATCAGGCTCATATGACAGAGACATGATTGAATACAGCAGCCTTGCCAGCCATAATAACTTGTGCAGCAACCAAGGCTCAGGGTCCCCCGGAATCCTATCATGATTCCCTCCCAATCTCAGCCTTCAGGGTTTAAGGGTGTGAATGTGAGAGTGGCAGCCAGGACAGAACAAGGTTTCTGTCAGTGTACTGTCCATTCTGTTGTTTCTGTCCTGAGCTTGCCAGGGTAATCTCAGGGTTAATGTTGGAGTGCTCTTCAGTTTTGGTTCTGGGGGATTTCAACACCTATATTGGTTCTCTCGTGGCAGTAACGGCTCAGGACTTCCTCCCTTCTGTAGGAGAAGACAAAAGCATGTCTGGCTACTCTCTGGATCTTGTTTTCCGTGCCCGGTAAAGTGATGGGGATTTGGGAGTGGACGAATGTTCTATTGTTCCATTATCATGAACACTATCTGATGACATCAAAACTTTCTGGGAGCCAAGGCCTCTGCAAAGGTGGAGGACCTATTAAGACAGTCCACCCCCCAAAATGGATAAGACTCAGAAAGTTTCCTTGGTGGCTCTTGGGGACTTTCCTTTTGCTTTAGCAGGCAATTCTCTGGAATGGTGAAATGACAGGATAATGGATCTGCTCGCTCCTGAGCTTCTCCTCTCAAGAACTGAAGCAATCTTGTTCTTTGGGAAATTAGCAGCAATGAATCAATTGAGACAAGAACAATGTTGGCAGCAATATTAATAATCCAACACAGAACAGGCCACAGCCTACTTAAAGGCCTATTTTATAACTGTAGGGATTTTTTTAAAGTTCTTTACCACTACTGAACCTGTTAAAGGCCATTCAGTGTAATAGCTTTGATTGATCTCTTACATCTTGGCCCACAAGAGGAACAGAGAAGAATACAGACTGTGCAACGGCGCTCTACTTCACAAATAGCATTGCTCAAATTTGTTCTGTTACTATAGTTAATCCAGGTTCAGCAGAGGTAACCTTGGCTCCCACTATGCAAGAGACAGCATTGCTCTCAACAATCTCCTCTACAAGTGATGGGGCTGCCCCCAAATTAGATTTCTAAAGGAAAACTTTCCAAGTGATCAGCAAAATTATGAACCTAATCCCAAAATCAGGCTTCTGTCCCTATAAATCACATTTGTGTCACAATATACTCCACATTACAACACAAGAAACTAATTGCATTTTTGTGTCTCACAGCAAGACTTTAAATTGCTTTTTAATTGAAATCTTTACATAATTTTTCAGTGAACACATAGATTATGAGAATTTAGAACATTCCTGTAATGATGCCACCAGTTGAAGGGACATTACTAATTTGTCAGGGTCTCCTACAACTTGTAATGAATCTACAAAATTACTAACAGCCACTAGCCTGTAATATGTTTATCTTCCTTTGATGTGTTGTGCGGCTTGACTCGAAAGTATACAAAACAGAGACTTGGATTTAAGAGAAACTGTAATAAGTGTATTGAAGTATAGAAGCTTAATGGTTTCAATGTTTCTTAACTTCTAGAGGTACATTCCTTCAGTGGTTACATTTATAACCTTTCACAAAACAACTCTTAAGAACACTGTTCTTTTCACTAGAGAGGTTTTAAACTTATTTCCTTCAAAATGTGTTTCTTTCCTTAACAGATCACTCCAGATACTAGCCTATTCCTTCCCTCTGTTATTTCTGTTACAGTAAAGATTCTTACTGGGGTTCTCTTCCCCTTTTTGCTCAAACCCTAACTACTAATCTAAATAAGTCAACTTGACCTATCTAAACCACACAGGCTAAAAGCCTAAACCTTCCTGATTCTCAACACAGTAGAACCAGCTTTCCCTGCGGTTCTCTGACCACAGACCGCCTATTTAAAATGCCTGCTCTTGCCAAGTGGCAGTTGGGTCCTCCCCTTTTTCCATGGCAACCCATCTCAGAGTGAGCTGAGCTGGCTACCATCCCCCTAGATATGCTACTTTAAATACTTACCCCTTTAAACACCTACCTATAATTATACATGACTGCAGGTTAAAATTCACACTTCACCACAATTCCCTTGACAGAAAAACTATTTTTTTATATTCATGACAGATAAGATGACCAGACAGATATAAGCTTTTAAAATATCAGTATTGTAAAAGATTTTGTTGCCCCCTGGGACACTTGCAGGATTAAATTATAACAAGAAACCCCATGACTTCTGCATAATCCACGTTGGCAACCTGTAACAGGCGTCTGATATAAGCAATTAACAAAATGTATGTGCCTGTTGCTTGCTATTAGGTTTTTTAAAAATAGTATTTGTGATCCTATCATTACCCCAACAACAAGAACTCTAGTTCGATGTACATTTGTCAGTCACCATTTGTATTAGCTGTTACTTCTCATCCTGGTGTGTTTCTCAACTGACGGATTATGGTAACAGCCATTGTTCTATCTCCAGAGATTATTGAACCACAGGGATGGGAATGAATTTATGAGATGGAGCTATGAGAAAAAGGAGAAGGAAAGTAAGACAGCTGTGCTGAACTATGGTTTACCCCTTCTGTGTTCAAAAATTAAAAACGCACTTTCAGTTCAAAGCTGTAGCTGGAACAATTTATCACGGAATATGGTGTCCAAATGAACTGCAACATATTCTCCTCCCATGAAAGCGGCATTCCAGTACCATAAAATCAAAGTGTCAGAACACAGAGGAGGAATACTAATACAACAAAATTATCACATCTCCAGCATCCTGTAGCTTGTATATTAAAGCAAATTTGAAAAGACCTGAAATCTTATGGGTTGTATATTAAAGCAAACCTAGAAAGGTCTGAAATTCTATTCCATTTTTACTAATACTGACAAGTACAGAAAAAGGTAAGACAGGTAAGCTTACCTCATTTAGTATTTGTTTGTTCGCTGCTTTCATTAATGCGGCAATGGCCCTATTATGCTGCAGTCTCAGACTACTAAATTCTTCACATACAGCAAAATCAGATAGCAAGCGCATTTGAGTAAATGTCTTACACAGTACTGTAGAAACAAGATCAAAACAAAAATACTTTAGAGAGGAAGGAAAAAAACTTTTAGGCAACACTGAGACTCTTAAAAGCGCAATTATTTTTATGTCCTGATGCTTCAGAAATTGCCGTTATTTTATGTGAAGGCTACCTTTAAAGGTGAAACTCTCATACATTAAAAAAGGTATTAAACACCTTGTAATACAAAGGCAATAATAATAATTCATTAATTCAACCTCAAAATATTAAAATCTAGTGAGTAATAGCAGAAGGGTGGGGGAACTAAAGAAAGTCTGTAAGGGTTTTCTAAATGCTTGTCACAATGAGGTCTGACATCTGCTAATATATTCCCAAAACGGAGACCAGCCATCAAAAGAATCAATAGTTTCAACAACGGATGCTACATAATAGATAATTGGAAATTGGACTGGCTTGATATTGACACAAAGTATTGCTGGCTATCAAAACAAGTGTTAATAGATTATATATTGCCCTTGGGAACTCCAGAGGTTGCTATTAATACACCAAAGTTTTAAAAATGTATGTGTTTTATTTAACTGTTGGACTTTGTGTGTGTGTGTGTGTGTGTGTGTGTGTGGTTTTTTTTTCCTTCACTATGCTGACCTGCTGGGCTGGGGAAAAGGGAAGGTGTAAGACCAGGCTGCTGGGAAGGACTTGCAGCCATTTCCGCTTGGCTAAAACTAAAAGGAGATTCCAGGATTCTTTCTGACAATGCACTCCCTTGTCTCTTCCTTTTCCCTTCAACTGCTGATATAGGACGAATGCTCTGGATGGGTCTTCAGGGAGAAAGGAGACTGCTGATTTGCTTTTTGAAGCTCCAAGATCCCCAACCAAGAGCTCTAGCTCCTTGGAAACCCACGGAGAACAATTACCCTAGGACTGAGGTAGAGAACTAAGTAGAAGGGGAAGCAAAGAAGAACATTGCCTGAATGCTGCCCAGGATACGCTTCCCATCATGAGACATGCAGAGGGGGGCTTTACGTTTTTTCTAGCAGCCTGGTCTTGCACTTTTGCAAGGAGGATGTATGTGAACACGGGGTCCAAAGCAATTCCCCATATGGAAGAAGAACTGATGAAACCTGCTGTTTCGACACTCTGAAACGGTAGTACTGTACTGTCCTTTTTAAAATGTTAAATGTGTGTTTGGGGGTGTGGTAAGAAATGTGTGGTTTCCTCACTTTCATGGGGGTTTTGCACACCAAATCCCTGAATGTGGAAAATAATAATAATAATAATAATAATAATAATAATAATAACAACAACACTTTATTTGTACCCCACTACCATCTCCCCAAGGGACTCGGTGCGACTTACATGAGGCTGAGCCCAAACACAACAATACAAGCAATAATAACAACAATACAAGCAATTAAAACACATAGACAATAAGAAACAACATTATCAATAAAACAACATATAGTTAAAAACAGTGGGAGGCCAAATGTTAGGTTAAAATTGGAAATAATGCTGGGACATGAACAGAAGGTGATACTGGTGTGTGTGGAAGGGCATATGAGCAGACCTAAAGAAATGTAAAGTGCTTTAGAGGAAAACCAGTTGTATACACATCAGGGACAAGGAGATGCACTGCCTAATCTTGAGAGTGGTACATGCACTCTGCATCCATCATTTTTGTCTCACACGCACCCAACCCTTCTTCCCACAAACACATGCTTGCCAAAAATTGGGCAACTATATACGAAGAAATCTAAAGGATACAACTGATTATTGGTATTTTAGGATACTGGGGGAGGGGGTTAAGCCTCTTTTAGACTAACGAGGATTTCCTTCAAAATCAGAAGGTTCTAGGGACATAAATGAACAATTTGCAAACATGGGGATGACAGTATAAAAAGTTTTGGGGCACCTTTTCTGTGTTTTTTAAAGGAATTTAATGACATTTAATAGCTTTTTGACATTAATAGTTTTTAAAGGAATTTAATGGCAGTATCACTTAAAGCAGAAAAAGCCATTTATCAATAAACTTTAATATAAACAAGATTATCATGGCTTGCGCAAGCAACCCAAGGCTAACCTCTTTATTCAGTAAATAAAGTATTCAGTAATATAGTTCTTTATCAGTCTTCCTTGAAAGACATACATATGATAGTTTTTTTTTAACCTACCAGTATTTGGAATGCAACAGTTAAACTTTGGGGGAAATATCGTAAACATGGCTGCAATGTATGCTAAAGCAGTTAAACTGGATTCCTTTCTTGCCTAAACAGATTCTTCCCCATTAAGGTTCCAGATAATTTATCTCCCTTGAAAATGCATGTTCAGGGCATATGTGAAGATGATGGGTTGTAATTAAAGAAGCCAATAAATGTTAGTGCTGTTATTGCCATTGATATTAACATTCAAGTATCAGCACAAGCCATTATAAAATAAAACATGGCAATGTACATACGGAACATTAAATCATCTGAGAGCGATGCTTCTACATGTTAACAGTCATAGGATGCTGGGGATCACATAGCAAAAACTACCACTGAATGTTAACATCACATTTTGCCTTATGTGTTCCTGTGGCAGCGTTCTTTTGTTTGGGTTGATAAAAATAATCTAGCATTATTTCAAGAAAGCCAACGTGTACATCCTGGATCCCTTTATCACCAGCATCTACAACTGCGAAATCAACTTTAAATAATAACTATATCCAAGGAGAGAATTCCTAGAAAATAAGCTATTTCCACAATATGGTTAAATAAAGACAAAGTGAAGTACACAGAAAACTATAGTGACCATTCCAGGTGCAATCTAGATCATGTCAACTTGGAAGTAAACCCACTGCATTCAATGATGTTACTCCTTTGAAATTCTGCCTAAGATTGCACCTAAATATTCTTACTTAATAAAGAGTATAATAAAATACAAAGATACCAGTGCCTGTCTTCAGTCTTATACTTCAGACACTGATAAGCATCTCTGTACTAAGAAGCACAAGTAAAACTCTTACTAACATTGAAACAGGCGTCTAGAGCGCGTAGGATCTTGTGCGTAGATGTGGCAAAGATGTTCTAGTAGAGAAACAAGAAGTAGCTGGTTGGCAAATGACGATGTTATGTTCATTATCTTTTGAGAACCATTTAAACCTCGAAGCTCTGTAGGCCAATCAGAATCTGAAAATGAATGGGCAAAAATTGAAGCAGAAAATAATCAAATTGAACAGACAGAAACACTGTGAAATTAAAGCAACGGTGTCCCAATATTTATTCTCCCCTACAGAATATTAGTGCTGACACGAGCAGACATAACTTCCAGACAGTTGCTTGAGGAAATACCTATGTTCACATAAATCTTTTTTTTAAACCCTTTAGAACCTATATTATGAAGAGATTGAGATCCAACAAGATATTCTGTGGGCATAGAAATAACTGTTTGTATAGGGGAATGGAGTGTCCTCAAATAGAGCACGGTTGAGCGGTCAACTGGTTCCCTAACTGGCCCTCCACACACTAACATTTTAGTTACAGATTCCACTTTTTAAGTGCAGTACATAGCAGACTTCTGCCTCCAACATGTAACAACAGTATTCAAGAGCAGCTCCTATTTAAGCATCAGCCTAGCTGAAGATGACAAATAACTCTTTGGAAGTAATTAAGTGGTTTAAAGAAAAGTTAATACAGGAATCCATTCATCCCTCTGCATCCAGCACATCTTCAGTAGGAAACTGTAAGAGAAAGGCACTCTCCACTCCAAATCTGCAGCACTGGACATTCTATTTTTTTTCTTTAAAGTGCAAGTTTGTAAATTTCAAGCAACCTTCTATGAGGAAAGTATAATATGACTGGAAGTCTCACCATCAGGGATCAGTTAGCTGCTATCCCTGTCTATTGTTCTGTTTCTTTTTTGCTTTGTTTTTGTATAATGTATCACCTCATTTTAAATGGGCACAGCATTAGAATTAAAAATAATATAATTGGCTTCCATGTAATGCAAGGGGGATGAGAATTATGTGACCTTCCAATTATCAAAAAGCAATCTCCAGTGTTCCTTCCAACATTTATTAGGCATGGAATACTGGAAATTCTTGTCCAACAGCTGAAGAGTCCCGTGATTCCAACCCAAGTCTAATTCAAAAAAAAAGAAACTGATGCAACAATACAGTACCCCAAAGCCCTGGAAAGAAAGCCATAAACCAGAATGGAAGAAATGATGAAACATTCCCATGCTCCTCTGTCTGAAGGTAAAGAAAACTGATGCAACTACATAACTGTTTGGTTATATAAATCCCTCCATTCCAAACACTGAGACTGTTAAATAATCTAGCTTGACTAGCAGCATGGAGCAGCATAAACAACTTATCAGAACCTGTGAAAAACTCAAAAAAATATTCAAATGTCTAATATATCTGACCATTACATGTCCTAATGCTACCCTTCCGAACTGTTTAGGGCTTTATAGAACATGACCTGCACCTTGAATCTGGCTTGGCAACTTACCACCAGCCAATGAAGCTGTTTTAGTAGGGGCATTGTATGCTTCCCTATAGTTTGCTCCAGTAAGGAGCCTGGCTGCTGCCCATTGTACCAGTTGAAACTTACGGGCCGTCTTCAAGGTCAGCCCCACGTAGAGCGCATTGCAACAGTCCAGTCTGGATTTAACCAAGGCGTGGACCACCCTGGCCAAGTCAGACTTCAAAAGGTATGGTCACAGATGGCGCACAAATTTAAGTTGTGCAAAGGCCCTTCTGGCCACCGCCGACACCTGAGCATCAGGCGACAGCGTTGAGTCCAGGAGGACCCCCAAGCTACGGACCTGCACCTTCAGGGGGAGTGCAACCCCATCCAGCACAGGTTGCCACCCAATACCCCTCTATCTTGTCTGGATTAAGCTTCAACCTGTTAGCCCTCTAAAGTCTTCTTTAAAAATAACATATCAGGTTTATTAACAAAGTTCTTGTATATATTCAGCATACTAATCCATAGTCCAATGTCTTTAAGCATATAGATATAGTCCAAACTACAGGGTGAGGCAGCATAACTTCCTTTTTTTAAATGCGCGCCATTCAGTCAGTTGAAGACGTAGTGGAGCGCTAGTGGTCTCGTTTGAGAGGCGGGAGTATAAAGTTTTGTCCTGACACAGTTCAGTCGCCATCATGCGTTGGAACAGTGAGGAGCGTGCGTTTGCCGTTGAGGCCTACTTTTCGAGCAGATTTGGAGTGGCCAGCCCACTCTCCAGATTTGGCCCCTTGTGATTTTTTTCTATGGGGTTTTTTTAAATCCTATGTTTATGTGAACCGTCCAAGGATCCTACAAGATTTGAAGACCAACATCCAGGAAGAAATTGCCAACATAATGCCTGCTATGCTGGCAAGAGTCATGACAAACGCCAGAAATCAGTTTACTCAGTGTATGGAGAATGGGGGACGTCACCTACCTAATTTGATCTTCAAAACGTAAAACAAAACTTTAGGTATGCGCCTACATTATAAAAAATAAAAAAATTCTGAAGCAGAAAATAAGTTTGGTCCCTCCTCCCTGTGGCTTCCTCTCACATACCTATACATGGCTATCATATCTCCTCTCAGCCTTCTCTTCTTCAGGCTAAACATGCCCAGCTCCTTAAGCCGCTCCTCATAGGGCTTGTTCTCCAGACCCTTGATCATTTTAGTCGCCCTCCTCTGGACACATTCCAGCTTGTCAACATCTCTATTGAATTGTGGTGCCCGGAATTGGACACAATATTCCAGGTGTGGTCTATGCTATTCCATAGTCTAATGTCTTTAAACCTATAGATGTAGTCCAAACTGTATAACTGCACTCACTGAAGTTGAAAAGAGACAACTGAATCCACCTCCATTGAGGTCTAAAAGCTTACTGTATGACAAAAATTGAGTCCTGTGTCTGAAGCCCCTCCCACACCAAAAAGGTATAGTCAAACTGGCAAACCAAAATGTACATACAGTACAGGTTAACAATAATAATAAGAAGAAGGCGGCTCTGGCATAAACAAGTACAGGTGGTCCCAGTTGTCATCGGCACACTGGGTGCCGTGCCAAAAGATCTCAGCCGGCATTTGGAAACAATAAACATCAACAAAATCACGATCTGTCAACTGCAAAAGGCCACCTTACTTGGATCTGTGTGCATCATTTGAAAATACATCACACAGTCCTAGACCGACTTGTGATTTTGTGATACAAAATCCAGCACATAGATCTCGTTTGCTGTGACATACTGTGCTTTTGTGTCAATAATAATAATAATCTTTATTTATAACCCGCCCCCATCTCCCCAAAGGGGACTCGAGGTGGCTAATATAAGGCCAAGCCCAAAAATAATACAATACAATTAGACAAAAAATAACAGGAAAAAACATCATAACAATATATATAAAACAACAGATAAAATAACAGATTTATCGTGTCATCAGCAACCATACCATTGTGTTACAATTTTAACAGAACAAAACAAACAAACAGATTTTTTTAAAAAAACAGATTTTGCAAACTTGGTAGTTGGTTAAATGTCCTTTGACCAGTATCTGGCCACTTGGGAGTGCCTCTGGTGTTGCCGCAAGAAGGTCCTCCATTGTGCATGTGGCAGGGCTCAGGTTGCATTGCAGTAGGTGGTCAGTGGTTTGCTCTTCTCCACACTCGCATGTCGTGGATTCCACTGTGGCCCCATTTCTTGAGGTTGGCTCTGCATCTCGTGGTGCCAGAGCGCAGTCTGTTCAGCGCCTTCCCAGTTGCCCCGTCTTCTGTGTGCCCAGGGGGGAGTCCCTCATTTGGTATCAGCCATTGGTTGAGGTGCTGGGTTTGAGCCTGCCACTTTTGGACTCTTGCTTGCTGGGGTGGTCCAGCGAGTGTCTCTGTAGATCTTAGAAAACTATTTCTTGATTTAAGTCATTGACGTGCTGGCTGATACCCAAACAAGGGATGAGCTGGAGATGTCTCTGCCTTGGTCCTTTCACTATTGGCTGCTACTTCCCGGCGGATGTCAGGTGGTGCAATACCGGCTAAGCAGTGTAATTTCTCCAGTGGTGTAGGGTGCAGACACCCTGTGATAATGCGGCATGTCTCATTAAGAGCCACATCTACTGTTTTAGCGTGGTGAGATGTGTTCCACACTGGGCATGCATACTCAGCAGCAGAGTAGCATAGCGCAAGGGCAGATGTCTTCACAAATAACAGATAAATAGGTTGTTGTAGGTTTTTCCGGGCTATATGGCCATGTTCTGGAGGCAGTTTTTCTCCTGACGTATGCCTGCCATAGATGCAGGCGAAACGTCAGGAGAAAAATTGCCTCCAGAACATGGCCATATAGCCCGGAAAAACCTACAACAACCCATGGATTCCGGCCATGAAAGCCTTCGACAATACATTGAACAGATAAATATTATGCACATTTATAAACAGTTAGTGGAGGCTTGGAAGGATGCGATTTCCAACAGAAAATTGCCAGAAGCACTTAAACACTTTGGCACTTTAACACTGCATCCATTTATTTTCTAACTTCTGTTTCCCAAACACAGGCCTTCCAGGTGTTTTGAACTTCAATTCCCAGAATCCTTGCTCATTGGCCAAAGCAGCTGAGGCTTCTGGGAGTTGAAGTCCACAGCACCTGGAGGCCTAGTGTTTGGCATCGTCACCCTAACATTCCCAACAGAGCTGTTTATGGCCTTATGAAACCAAAGCATTTCCAAGGTGGTTGCCCCGCCCCTTCATTCGACCCAAACGCACCGTCGAACTGCGGGCCCGCGGCCTGGTCGTCGGGGAACTCCAAAGCCGGGGGTGGCGAGGCATTTTCGGCTCCCGGGGGCCGCCTCTGGCCCCCTTTCCCTCGCCACATGGCGACCAACGTCTCCTCTGAGGCCCTGCAGGTCGCACTGAGGGAAGGTGAAGCAGGCCGCGCAGGCGCAGACGAGGCATAGGCTCTTCGTCGGAGGGAAAACAGGCCCAATGGCGCCCCCACAGGCCGTTGAAGGAAGCACATGCTACTTTCTGAGGCTCCCTCCACACAGCTGAATAAAACCCCACATTATTTGTTTTGAACTGGAATATGTGGCAGTGTGGACTCAGTTCAAAGCAGATATTGAGGGATTTTCTGCTTTGATATTGTGAGTTATATGGCTGTGTGGAAGAAAGGCCCTAATTGTCATCCCTCAGAAGAAAGGCCCCGTCTGTTTTGCCATAGTATGCCTTTGAAACTGCATTATGTGGTCAGTGTGGACTCATATCATGCGGTGTGCCGTTACACCCAGACGCTTTATAAAACAAACTAAGATGTGCTGTTCCTATGTCTGGGCGAACCGCTGGGGCTTTCTGGAGAAAATTGAGATAATAAAAAATGGAGTCCACTGCGAGGTCTAAACATCAAAAAGGGGGATATTTATTTCAACAGTTGTTCTCAATACTCAATACAATTGTTCTCTCAATAGACAGTTAAACTTATCTCACTATACTTAACTAAATACTCCTCCATTCAATAGTTCTCAATTGTACTTATCTTAATTCTCAATAGCTCAATAGTTGTTAATTTAGCTTATCTAACTATGCTATCTCAATTCTCAGTAGTAGGTAGTTGGTAGTTTTTGTGGTGGTTTTCTCTGGGCTGCCCTATTTGGCCCTCAGCACATCCAAAAGGCTTCTATGGAACTGAACAGGGTAGGGAGACTCCAAGAAGGAAAACTCTCCCCAGGAAAAAGGGCGGCCTCTAAGAGCTGCCCCCTAGGCCAATCACTGCAAAGAGTTTGCAGGCTGGTTCCCCTTTTTCCCACCTTTGGCTGCAACTCCAGGACTTGTAAAGCTGCAGAAGCTTCTAAAAGAAAGGGCAAAGGCAGCCGAATCAAACAACCAAAAAAGGCAATAAACCCAGTCTCCTGGGAGACGGAACATGTGGTTTAAACTCTACACTGACATTGTAAGGATTACAATGTCCCGAGTAGATTACTGCAACGCACTCTACGTGGGGTTGCCTTTGAAGACTGTTCGGAAACTTCAATTAGTCCAGTGGCCGGCAGCTAGATTACTCACCGGAGCATCATACAGGGTCCCAAATCCACTTAATGTTTTGGTTTGGGTGCCTTTTTTGATGTATCTATTATGTTGTTTGTTATCACCCATTTAGGGACGTATGGTGAACCTGCCGCCATCACCCCTTGGGACCCCCGGGAAACCGACAGGCCATTTTGGTCCTTGATGAGATGGGATCTGGGGATCTTTGGGCATCAATGAGATGGTGGCAGCGATGTTATGGCAGCAGGGAGCCAGCTGGGCTCCATGTTGAGTTTTGGGGTGCAAAAAGGGTGGAGAGTTTAGCGGAGGAAAAGTGAGATAGCCATTAGTTTTAGAATTAGCCCAGGAGAAGAATGGCACCGATTTTGGAGTCATCCGTTGACCCACGGATACGGGGGCCCGATGGGTTCAGAGGAATGCAGTTTTGGCCTCCCCGGGATGCAAGAATCACATTCTGGGCAGGTTGGCAGCTGTCTGCAGCCAGAGAGAGAGAAAGTTCATGCAGAGAATAGTTGGAAGCATTGAAGGACACAAAGTAACACTATAGAGAGGAAAAAGTTACAATTAATTGATACTTTATTGGGGGAATTTGTTACAATGTTAGGTAGGGGAGGAAAGTGAGGCAGAAAGAGAGTCTTGGGTTGAAGCTGTTGCTGTGGCCACATTCTATGGAGGCTGGCCCAAGCGGGCAACTGAGAACTGCGGAACTCCCTGCTGCAGGTCAGATCAGCTTGAAGGCAGGGGGTTCTGGGTTGTTCCTTCTCATTACTTTCCGGATAACCCTCGTACATTATTGTATACTGCTTTCTTCTCACAATGAGACTCAGGTCTCTTCCACAAAGCTGTATAAAATCCACATTGACTGGATTATATGGCAGTGTGGACTCAGTTAATCCAGTTCAAAACAGATAACTGGGAGAGCAGTGAAAGAGCAAAATAAATTTTAATCTGCCTTCTCTCTGGTTGCATCTACAGTGACCACTTATGCCCCTTCCACATAACTGAATAAAAACCCACATTATCTGCTTTGAACTGGAATATATGGCAGTGTAGACTCAGATAACTCAGATCAAAGCAGATACTGTGGGATTTTCCACTTTGATTAATGTATAAATATGTGAGGGAAAGTCATAGGGAGGAGGGAGCAAGCTTGCTTGTTTTTTGCTGCCCTGGAGACTAGGACGCAGAACAATGCCTTCAAATTATAGGAAAGGCGATTCCATCTGAATATGAGGAAGAACTTCCTAACTGTGAGAGCTGTTCAGCAGTGGAACTCTCTGCCCCAGGGCCCTTCCACACAGCTCTATATCCTGAAATATCATGGCAGAAAATACCACAATATGTGCTTTGAACTGGGTTATCTGAGTCCACACTCAGATAATGTAAGATTTTCTACCTGGATATTCTGAGATATAGGGCTGTGAGAAAGGACCCCCAGTTCTAAGCAGATATTGTGGGATTTTCTGCTATGATATTCCAGGATATAGAGCTGTGTGGAAGGGCCCTGGGGCAGAGAGTTCCACTGCTGAACAGCTCTCACAGTTAGGAAGTTCTTCCTCATATTCAGATGGAATCGCCTTTCCTATAATTTGAAGGCATTGTTCCGTGTCTCCAGGGCAGCAAAAAACAAGCAAGCTTGCTCCCTCCTCCCTATGACTTTCCCTCACATATTTATACATTAATAACACATTAATTAATCATGTTATTAAAATTTATTACTGATTCTTACAGTGTTATCTTATATGTGTACAAAAACATGTTCTGTTAGATTAGAATGCGACTTCCTCCTAGGCTTAATGACTTGATTGTGAACATTATATTTCTGGAGGTCCACTCTGTAGCCAAGAAAGTAAATATAGCAACAGCCTTTTTTCTTGTAAAATCTCACCAATATTTTGCCCAGTAGCCATCTGTTTAATTAACAGGAGCCCCAATTTGCAGAATATTCAGTTTTTTAAAAAACGAGCAAATATCAAACATAAAGGTAGCGAACTAGAACGTATCCTTTCCAGGTCCAAGTAATTTAACATTTCTGCTTGGAGTGTCTATCTTTCCATTATATGTTCTTTCAAAAAGCAGTATGGATGCTTCTGCTTCCCTTGATGTTTTCTGCTCAGTGTGGGTTTCTTTGACTTTCAACAGAGGCCTTTCTTCCCCCGTCAAAACTTTTCAGCTTTCAAAGCTTGTGCATGCTGAGTGCTATTTTTAGATAGTTGGAATTGCGAGGATTTGGAAGATCTAATTTCTCTGTATTCACCAGGTACCATTCCAGGGCTCAAAATCTTGACCCTTTTCCTCCTATTAGTGAAATACTTCTGAAGTAGCCATACAATTGGATGCCGCCCATTGAACTACTTCAGCAGGGCATCATTTCCTTGTGCTACTCATCAAACAATCTCTCTCTCCACCTTTTCCATAACCTTGTGGTTTAGCAATGACCTTGCCGAAATAACTATTCTGATTCCTCCTGCAAAACTGAAAAATGTTTCAGTGGAAAATATTTCCCTTACTGAAGAAGAGGGAAAATTATACTGCATCTCTGCATTACTGATTTGTTATAAAAAAACACTAGCCGTCCCCTGCCACACAGCAACGTTGCTGTGGCTCAGTCTGTGTAAATGTTTTGTGTGTGTATATATTTGTGTATATGTGTGTTTGCGTATATACATGTGTGGTTTTGTGCATGCTTTGTAATGTAAATTTTGTTTTTTGCCTTTTTAAGTCTTTTCTGCTGTGTGTTTCAGTGTTTTATGAATGATGGTCACTCGTTGGCCTGAGAGGTATATTGTGTCCAAATTTGGTGTCAATTCGTCCAGTGGTTTTTGCGTGATGTTAATCCCAGAAATTAACATTACATTTTTATTTATATAGACTAGCCGTCCCCTGCCACACATTGATGTGGCCTAGTCTGTGTATATGTGCTTTGTGTATATATATATATATGGTTTGTGTATATGTGTGTTTGCGTATATCTATATGGTTTTGTGCATGCATTGTTATGTAATTTTTGATTTTTTAGTTATGTTAATCCCACAAATGAACAATATATTTTTATTTATATAGATTTAAAATTCCCACGCATATAAAATTACATTAACAGTAATGTGTACAGAACAAAAAAGGAAAGAGTGCTAACCCCCATCATCTGCAAAGGAGGATGATAGGGCTCATTGTGCACACACTTGTTTTTTTTTTCACATTGCCATCATAATTTATTTATTTATATAGTATCATAAATGGGCATGATATTTGACAGGTAAAACAATAAAAAACTGAGGGTCTTGCCAAAAGTGCATACAAAAAGGGAAGGAATCTATATCTATCTATCTACATAATAAAAGTGAAAATATGTCTGTGTGGGGCTGGGGTGCCCAGTTACACTGTCTCCCACTTACTCAAACAGCTTTGATCCCCACCCATCAGGAGCCATCAAAGACCCTCCCTCTAATGACATTGCAGGTTATAGCAAGCACCATGAACATGTACACAAACACAAGACTGCCCACCACCCAAATGAATGCTTTCATACGGGGACACTTTCATCCTAGATTTTATGTGCTTCCTCCACCACAGACATCTCAGTCTTTCTGACTTTCTACATTGGTGTGGAATTTGCATGATCCCGCCCACTGCCTCTCCCTTAACCCTTTCCTATTATTTCCTATGGCGCACAGCCAGCAGAGCAGAATTGATCATCAACTGAACATACTGGAAAGGTTTGGAAGCCTTATTCAACATGATGTAGTTCACCCTGCATCAGGACAGAGAACTGTGAACCCCACCAGCAATGGACTTGGACCAAATTTGGCACACAGAACCCCCATGACCAACGAAAGAAAGAAGACTTCGGGGAATGTGGAATGCGGAAGAACTTCATCGGTGTCGTTGATGGACGATGAAAAGCAGCAGC